CACGCACAGTGCACACTCACTACACACCACGCACACTCACTACACACCACGCACACTCACTACACACCACGCACACTCACTACACACCACGCACACTCACTACACACCACACACACTACACACCACACACACTCACTACACACCACACGCACTACACACCACACACACTACACACCACACACCATGCACACTCACTACACACCACGCACAGTGCACACTCACTACACACCACACACACTACACACCACACACTACACACCACACACCATGCACACTCACTACACACCACACACACTCCACACCGCACACCATGCACACTCACTACACACCACGCACAGTGCACACTCACTACACACTCACTACACACTCACTACACACCACGCACAACGCACAGAGACAAAGAGCCCCGTATCACACAGATTGTGGCCACCCATGCCCGCTCGCCCGCCTTTGTCTCCCAAGTGGCGATGTTTACACCCCGCACTGACACAAACTGACACACACTACACACACTACACACACTGCACACACTACACACACTGCACACACTGCACACACTACACACACTACACACACTGCACACACTACACACACTGCACACACTGCACACACTACACAAACTGACACAAACTGACACACACTGCACACACTACACACACTGCACACACTGCACACACTACACACACTGCACACGTAACGTACCGACACGCTCACCTATCTACACAGACTGTTGATGAAGGTGGTGTTAGTGAGCACCTATTAAGACCGCGCCTATGAGGGGTGGGGCGCTTAGCACCACGGCCGTGCAATACACATACACAATACACACAGACGCATACAAAGCAAAGATAAAGGTCCAATCCTATAATTACCCCATGTAGCATTTCACAGGCTGCGTGTGGGGCGTGGTTCTGACCACATTACCCCTGATGCCATGTGCAGTGACGGCCTTAATAGGTGCTCGCTAACCATACTCGTCACAACAATCTCAACGCTCATACACATTGAGACGGAGACAAACACATCCCCAGTATAGCCTGAGCAGGCCATTTGGGCAAGTGTTGTTCGCGTGTACCGATGAAGGCTGGTACGGCACACTCAGGGAGTGGATGGCTAGCACCACGCCCGGCCGCCTTTGTCTCCCTAGTGGAAATGTTCACATCGCACCAGGTACTAATTTGAGGCTGAGTATACTTAGGGGAGACCCAGGATCGGTTCAAATATTCGCCACTATTAATTTTGTCGTGAACGGGAATCGAACTTAGCTCGCCGGGTTCGGAGTGCAGCACGCGAACCACGACACTACCGCTCCCCAACACTCACCCACATTGACAAAGCCCGCACACGCAATGTATGCACTGTGTGTGTGTATCACAAGATACGCACTGTATACACAATACACACACATTCAAACAAAGATTCCCACCATACCTGTACAGTTGAGGCTTTCACAGACACACAATACACCCACATGCCAACAACATACACCGACACAAAAAGACAAAGATCTCTCGTGTAGCCTTCAACAGACCTTTGGGGCAAGTGCTGTTAGCGAGCACCATTGCTGATGTTTACACACCGCACCAGGTACTTATTTAAGGCTGAGTTGACCTAAGGGAGGCCCATGACCGGTCCAAATATTCGCCACTGATATTGGTCGTGAGCGGGAATTGGTGCGCTAACCACTGCGCCGCCGCTCCCCTCTAGACACAAACACAGCAGAGGCCGCTCGCCCCTAATTGGCGGTGACGTCACCACGGCGCTTGTGCCAGGCTAGGTGCACTTTGAGGCCTCATGAAGTGTAGAAGGCTCGATGGGAGGTCACGGGACAGACCCACTTGATTGAGATGACTGACAGACGCATCACCTGTGCTCCCCACTGTGCCACCTGGCTGCGTTTAGCCGCCCGGCGCTCCGCTTATGATTGTGAGGATCGCTCCTCTGCCTTTCGTTGTCCTTTGAAGGCGACTGCCTCCAACTGCCCAGCAGCGTCCTTCACGAGCCTCCTCCATAGAGGCCGATCCTGACACCGCTGGTACCGGTCATCGGAAAATCCACTCAACTTTAGATCATTTGGCATCACATCAGCCGAATACTCATTACACACAAAGTGCTCGCCACAAATGAACCACGATAACTTGCTGATCTCGTCAAGGAGCATAAACCATCACGCGAACGCCGGTCATCCTCGCAGCGGCTTTTGGATAGCCGTCGAACAAATACGGTCACTGCATCGCACTTTGAGACGCGCTTCTGCGGCCGTCTGGAACGCTCTCCCTTCCGATATTAGGAAGCCACCGGAGCTATGTGCTTTTAAATCTAGATTGAAAACTGATTTTTTACAACTACTTTTGTATTTAATTTGTTGTCCTACCCGCGCACATCCCATTATCACGATTGGCTACGTACGGTGCGAAAAAAGTAACAAAAACATACAGCCCGTACCACCCACTCGCTCAGTCACCCACCCACTCGTGTACCAGTCTATCTCTTTTTTAGCCTGTGCCAAGCCCGTTTAGCCCCCTCTATTCGGCCGAACAGAAGCTGTTTGGGCATGCCGTGGCTGGGCATGTGGGCTTCGCGTGGAGTGATAGCCAAGGGAGGAATCTTCCACACAGCGGCACGCAGCTGATGAAAAGATAATAAAGATAATGCCGATCGACTGATTTGCAGTGAGACCTCCGCTGCCAAACTGCCCAGGTGTGGGAACTCTCCACACCTGCCCCCATCACTCGTGGGGAGAGTGGACAAGGTGGAGAATTTGATTACATAAAATACCCAGCAAAGTTGCTTTGTATTGATTGGGCTGCTGGCAAGTCCCCCAATTCGTAGTCGCATGCTCCAGGTTTGGCAGCGGTCTCCAACTCCTCAGAGTGAGCAGCAATTACCAGATCATCAGCAGAGATAACATGGCTCACCGATAGGGAGCCATCGCTAGACCGCACCCGGTCATCAATCAGCCTCCTCTTGTATCTGTACCAAATGGAAATTCCTCCGGTACAGCCATGGGAGGCTTCTCGAATTACGTGGTTAAAGAAGATGTAAAATAGTGTTGGGGCCAGAAGACATCTCTGTCGCACCCCAAGGTGAACAGGGAATGGCGCTGCCTACAAAGACAGAGATACCCCGTGTAGCCTTAACAGACTGGTGGGACAAGTGCTGTTGGCGATGAAGGCCGGCTCGGGACACGAGGGGGTGGGGTGGCCAGAAATACACATCAACTAAGCCATTGCATTCACCAGGTAAAGCGCACTAAGCTTTGCGCTCGCTTTCAGAGGTGACCTGGCTACACACAATGACAATTCATCACCGAAGTGGCTGATAGCATCACCACGCAAAAATGTATTGTAGCAGCCACATCATGTAAACGCGAGTGCTTTTTTCTAGACGAGCAAAACCCTAAGAGACCCGGCGAACAATCCACGCGGACTCCGCGCAGACAGGCGGCACAACCACCTCACCATCACACCACCTCGCCATCACACCATCTCACCATCACACCATCTCACCATCACACCACCTCGCCATCACACCACCTCACCACGTCACCACGTCACCATCTCACCATCACACCACCTCACCACGTCACCATCTCACCATCACACCACCTCACCATCACACCGTCTCACCATCACGTCTCGTGTGGGCTCGCCACTCGGACGAGATGGTATCTCCACGCCACCGCGGCGCCCCTCGACGCAGAGACGCAAAGACAAAGATCCAAACCCCACAACCTATAGCCTTCACACAATGACGGGGCAAGTGCTGGCTGTTACGGAACACCTACGGCACACAAAGACATGGCAAAGATAAAGATCACCCCCATAGCCTGTAACACACTGTTAGGGCAAGAGTGATATTATTGAGCAGCGCCTGTGAAGGCCGGTACGACACACGAGGGGGTGGGGGCCAGCACCACGCCCGCCCGCCTTTGTATCCCGAGTGGCGATGTTTGCGCACCGCGCCGGGTACTCAGTTGAAGCTGAGTCGACCCTGGAAGACCCAGGACCGGCTCAGATCATCGTCACTCGGTGGTGGTGGCCGTGAGCGAGAATCGAACTCGGGACGGCCGGGTTCGTAGCGCAGCGCGCTCACCATGAACACTCTCTCCCAACATAGACGCGCACCTAATACACAACAACAACAACACACACTCATCGCTAGCACGCCCTCGCCCGCAGCCGCACGCCTGCCGCGTGTAAATATTGACTTGTCCGTGTCTCCTTGCGGTCTGCCCCCCTCCTCCCAGCCACCCACCCATTGGTGTGGCTCCTCCTCCTCCCAGCTTCATCATCATCATACTCCCAGTCGAGCTCTGTGCGGGGTCAGAAGAGCTTAGCTCACACCACGCCTCACCTCACCGCGACTCCTGCCTGCTGCCTGCTGCAGCCAGCCAGGCACCGTCCGTGTCGTCTCGTGCACCCACGGCTGTACCCAGACACCACACTGCAGGTATTTCTACAACTCACTCACGAACTCACCACCACACACAGTGCACTCACCAACACACTACAGGTCACAACAACACACTCACCAACACACTACACACCACACACAGTGCACTCACCAACACACTACACACCACACACAGTGCACTCACCAACACACACAGTGCACTCACCAACACACTATACACCACACACAGTGCACTCACCAACACACACAGTGCACTCACCAACACACACAGTGCACTCCCCAACACACTACAGATCACAACAACTCACTCACCAACACACTACATGTCACAACAACACACTCACCAACACACTACATGTCACAACAACACACTCACCAACACACTACATGTCACAACAACACACTCACCAACACACTACATGTCACAACAACACACTCGTCAACACACTACATGTCACAACAACACACTCACCAACACTCAACAACTCACTCACTACAATGCAGGTGACAACTCACTCAACAACACACGCACTCACCCTCTCACTCACCCACATACTCACCACACTCCAAGGCACATTCCCTCCCATCGTCTCCTTCCTCCCCCCAAGCTCTTTATACAATGACCCTGCTCGAGTAAATAAGCGTGTTACACACTCGTATGTGTCACAACTTTGACCGTGCTGCTTGTCTCTAGCCGCTTGTCGTCGTGCGGCTCAGCAACTGTTTCAATCTCCCGGTGCCTGCCCTTCACGCCCCAACAGGAGCCAGGGAGGGTGGAGGTGGTGCCGTGCACAGCTGACGTCCATCACGACCAGCCTCGGATGGGCTAGAGGTCAACTCGGTTCACGGTAGAGAGCGGCCACACGGGAGCAGCCCCGGGATCAAGGTCTTGACCAGGCCAGACTCGTCTCGTGGCCATCGCCCGGCTCACTCAGCGAACGGGACCGGCGTCAGCACCACAAGCGGCGGCGTCACGTGGAGACTCAAGTCCCGGGATGATCTCGTGATCAGCACCGGAATCGGATCTTGACACTGACGCGGCCGAGCGGGATCAGCTCGGGGCCGAGCGGGCGAGCAGCCGGGCACAGGGAGAAGAGGCGGAGAGGGGAGCGGAGGAGGAGGGGTGAAGTCGCGGCCCGGTCATGCCGCTGCTGCCGCTACCGCCGCCGCTGCCACTGCTGCTGCCGCTGCTGCTGCTGCTTCTCTGCGGGGTCGGGCGCTGCTCCAGCGCACGCTTCGCCGTCTACTGGAACAGCAGCAACCACAGGTGAGGAGGGCGGCGGGGGGTGAGGGGGGGGGGGGGCACGGGGAACTCGTTCCGTGTTGACTCCCCAACGAGATCCTTGAGATATTCGGATCGCCTCCTGCTCAGGACTCCGAGCGCAAGGCGTTTGTTGCTGGGGGAATGTGTGTATGTTGAAGTTCTTTCGCAACGTACGTAGCCAACCGCTATAATCGGAGGTGCGGGGGAAGGACAACAAACTCAACACAAAAAAGCAGTTCTAAAGAAATACGTTTTCAATGTAGACTTAAAAGTGCATGGCTCCAGTGGCTTCCTGATATCGGAAGAGCTTTCCAGACGGCCGCAGAAGCGCATCTGAAAGTGCGCGATGCGGTGAATCGTGCTTGGCACCGTGCAGCTCCCAGACTCCGAGACGCGTTTCCTTTGCGAGTCAGACGGCGTCGTTCTAGATGTTTAGCTCTGTCTTGAAAACTCACCTCTCTAAAGTGGCCTTTAGCCCATAGCCCTGGCCGTGTACCCTGCAGACATAGTCTACTCCCTGCTTTCCATACACGGTGGCACACTGGGACCTACGGATGACACGCGCGTTACAAATGTAAGTTATATTATTATTGTTATGATGGAGGGGGCACAGGGAGGTGAGGGAGAGTGACATGGGAAGAGTTAAACGCGAGGTGAGGAAACAGGTGGCAGGTTAGCTATTATGTGGGTTAGCAGGTGGGTGAGTGAATAAGTGAGGTAAAAGGTGAGTGAGTAGGTGAGTTAACGGGTGGTGAGTGATTAGGTGAGTTAACAGGTGAGTAGGCGAGGTAACTGGTCAGTGAGTAGGTGCGTTAACAGGTGGGCGAGTTAATAGGTGAGTGAGTAGGTGAGATACCAGGTGAGTAGGTGAGCTACCAGGTGAGTAGGTGAGGTGACAGGTAGGTGAGTCAACAGGTAGGTGAGTAGATGAGGTAATGTGTTTGTGAGAGGGTAGGTGAGGTAACAGGTGAGTCGGTGAGGTAATCCCGGGGTGACGTGTAAGTCGGGATTCCTCGTGGTGGCGAGGGGTGAGTAAGAGACACCCACGACAGGTGTTGGACAAAATCCTGGAACCTTCCTCCTCCCTTGAACGCAGTGACTCAGACGCTGATCACACAGATAGACAATCGTCATTCAAGTTAATAAATAAATAAGCAGTCTGCCTCCTAATTTCCGACTCCCCCCATAAAAAATACAATCCGCATATTTTTTACACATTCCATCAGCCACACAGCCGTTCTTCTGAGAGTGCCATCATTGCAACAGCATCGGTTCAACACAGGCAGCGTCTCGTCAGCAGCAACGCGAGGCTTGCTTGGCACCAACAACCACTGTGGTGCACCGCCAGATGTGAATTGGCGAGGGCCTTCTCTGTAGCTCGACACAAAACTGGAAACAGGGACTCCTCTACTTACGAACGAGTTAGGTTCCAGGTCTGTTCGTAAGTCGATTTGTTCATAAGTCCAACTTTACTCCTGTCGACTCCAAACATGTTGCACGGCATGTACACTTAACACGGGGAGTGGCTTTAAAAGTTATATAATCTCCTGTAGATGTGGATGCCAATGGTTATGCAGATGCAGATGCCACCACCGCCATTGATTGCGCGGTGGTTGAACTTACGACTCTCAGTCCGGACAGGCAACTCAACATGCGGACAGGTTGTTCGTATCTCTAAAAGTTCGTAAGTCGAATGTTCGTAAATAGAGGAGTCCTGTAATACAAAACACAAGATAATCACGAAGAAGGCGCGTGAGGCTTATGTGACATGAACAAATATTTATTTATATATATGTTGTGTGTTCAGAGACAAATAATGTACGGCAGGAGACGAAATGCCTACTTATTTACTTTGTCAGTTATAACCTCCTTCGTTGTGGACGCAGTACAGCAGCACACAGACGGCCCGCTCGGTGGCATAGATTCCATCACAGTGCAGTACAACGTCTCTTATTCGCGACGTCGTTGGGGGGTGGGGGGCGAACTTCCATGATGCAGCTCGCAGGGCACCCACCGGCTGTGGCTTTGCAGAGGCAAGGGTTTGCGGACCACGCGAGAGATTTGAGAAACTCTCCCAAAATCCGCTGAGCTGGGGAAGTGGCGGTGCGGATGTGGTAACACAGCAAGTCGGCTGGTGAATCCGCCTGTGAGGACGTGGCCGGCTCGCACGAGAGATGAGATTTTTTTTCTCTCTGGCTGCTTCGATTTCCTGCTTCCCCCCCCCCTCAATCAGGAAACAAAACAACTCCCGAGTTAAAAGGGGATTTGGCCAAACATCCCATTGTAGCAGGAGCCTCCGGAAAAGGAGTCTTGAGACTCAGAGTGAGGCCATCCTGGATAAACGGAGGCATCGGTCTAGGAGGCTGACTCCTTTGTCTCGTTCACCACACTGTGTTCAACTACCACGCTGCAGCTCACAACAACAACACACTCACTCACTCACCCACTCACCACACTACAGGTGACAACAACACACTCACTCACTCGCTCACCCACCCTCTCACTCACCCACTCACCACACTACAGGTGACAAAAACACACTCACCCTCTCACTCACCCACTCACCAAACTACAGGTAACAACAGCACACTCACCCACTCGCTCACTCACTCTCACTCACCCACTCGCCACACTAAGTATTGGACTGTGATTTTAAATACACTCTATAACTATATACACTGTAAAAATTGAAATGGCCATTTTGGAAATGTGGGGAGACCCTTCGCGACATGAATCGACACGTGCCACAACAACAATTGTACACCATGATCAGCACCCTGGTCATCATTCAACGACATAAATACGCACACGTGCCTCCTTCCCACATCTGCCCCTCCACATTAAATACACACGTGTCTTCGTCACACATCCCATCAGCCAACACGGCTTCAGTCACTACGGGATCCCATGTGAAAAAGAGCTTCATAGCTCATCGGATTTCTCCAGGAAAAATAAAGATTCTGATTCTGGTCGGTGTTACGGCACCTAGCATCGAAGCCTAAGAGGGGGGGGGGGTCCTTGTCTATGAACATTTGGCAGTTCACCAGCAAGTCTGGCCTTGCTGATGAGGCGATGAATGTCGCAGAGTTTTGCTCGTGTTGAACTAAGGCTGCCGAACAAATGCACTCCAGGAAAAGCTTTGTGGCTGATGGGATGTGGAAAAAAAAGGTAGGAAGGAGTCGAATCTGATCATGTTTTTGTTGCTTATATTCTGCTAAATTCTGATTTAAAGCTTTCGCGACTGCAGGGATTCATATTCTTGGTTCTTTTGGTAAAGTCGGAAAGACAGCGTCCTCATGACTTTCCGACAGCTCTGCTCTTCACCTGAGGACGGCTGCTTGCGTTGTGGCCGAAACGTCGTGAGATTTTTTTTTATGTTTTATTTTTATTATTTTGTTATTTTCCTTCTACGTGACTTTATCGAAAGAACCAATAATATATTCTGCTAGTTTTACCCAGGAAAGCCTCACCGTGTCTCAAGACTCTCCCTCTCTCAGGAGAGGTTCCTGCTGTCAAGTATCCGCAGTAGGGGGCGATGTTACTGCTCCTGCGATGTGATCCCTGTTGAGTAATGTGCAGGTGATGTCAGATGTGGGATGTTTTCCAGCCCGATACCGGCTAACACTGTGTGTTGTGGGTTTTATTCTGGCTGTGGGAGGGAGGAAATCAGAGAACCTGGAGGCAACCCCATACAGAGTTGGCGTAGAGAGAGCATAGGGACGACTCCAACGAGCACTCTCACTCTCCTGCAGAGACACGTCCACTCCGCACGGTAAGGCGGACGGGTCGGGAGTCGAACCCAGGCCCTTACAAAACTGGGGCAAATGTTAGACAGCCAAGTTGTGCCAGGGTTGGCATGTCTGCTGGCTTCTTGCTGTGGTGAGGCACGAGAGTTCTAACCACTGCGCCATCAGCCTGCTCACGACTTCACCTCATCACGCCATTCTCCGAGGTGGTGGCTGCTGCTGCTGCTGCTTGTGGCGCTGGTGGCGCTGGTGTCGTTTGGCACAGCAGGGGCCACGGCTGGGTGCACGGCCAGTCAGGAATCTCAGTCAGTCGGTAAACCCACGGCACCTGCGAGGTCTGTCGCGTGACAGTCCATCCCTGTCCACCCCTATCAGTGTCCGACCTTATTAGAGACCAACTCAGACCTTATTGGTCACCCCGTGCCCCTTATACATCTCAACGTTCATCCTACAAAGTCACATCGCAAGGGAAAAACACAAACAAAGAGACAACACAAATGTGTTTTTGCCCGTATTGAAACGGCTGTACGCCGTATGGACCTGAAAACTCGGTTTCCCTGCACAAGAACACGGGGTTCTAACCCGTGTGGGTTGTGAGCCACTGCGAGACACAGACGCGTGACAGTGCACCGAGCGAGTGGCCAGCGGGGTGTGGGGGTCACTGCTGTTGGCCATGGCTGCTGCTGCTGGTGCTGGTGCTGCTGCTGCTGCTGCTGGTGGTGGTGGGTGCTGAGGGGCAGCAGGAGGAGAGGGTCCCGCACACTCGCTGCTACTGGTGGTGGTGGGGTGCTGGTGGTGGTGCTGGTGATGGGTGCTGATGCTGCTACTGCTGCTGGTGGTGGTGCTGGTGCTGCTGGTGGTGCTGCTGCTTGTGGTGGTGCTGGTGGTGGGTGCTGCTGCTGTTTCTGTTGTTGCTGCTGCTGGTGCTGGTGGTGCTGGTGGTGGTGGCGGGACGCTGTGGGAACTCGGAAGCGAAGGAAGCGGCGTGCGGAGCGTTCACATCCTGCGGCGCGCGCACAATGCCGACAACGCCGCCGCCGCGGAGTTTAGCGCGAAAACAACAACGCCGCCACTCTGGGAAGGAGGGAGAGGGGAGGGAGATAGCCGCGGGCAATTAATAATTAAGAGCCGTAGCCACAGCCAAGTCATAAACAACACCCCGGCTCTCAGAGAATGGCGCTTTTAACCTCCCCCGCCTCACGCGAGAGGGAGGGGGGACGCGGCTCGCGTGCGCCGCTGTTGACGCACCGCCGCCGCCACTTGGCGCTGTTTGGCTGCCGCCTCTCAGGATGTTTGCGGGAGTCGCCGGGGACGGGGACAGCGGCCTCCCGTGGGAGCCCCGGCGACCCTCCCGGTGATCAGGGGGGGTGGGGAGGGTGATCAGGGGGGGGGTGGGGAGGGTGATCAGGGGGGTGGGGGGGGGGAGACGTGTCGGGAAAGTGATGTCGACAAGGCTCGATGATTGCCACTCACCTCCTCCTCCTCTACGGGACGTCTGGCAAAACAAAAACCCGCGTGAGCAGCGTGCACACGCGGCTCCCCGGCACGTGTCGTGGCGGACACTGCAAGATCCGACCGCGTGCGTCCGGCGCTCGCCGAGCTCCATCGGCTTTCGGTTGCCGAACGAAGGCATTGTGAGAAAGGTGGCACTCGTCACACACACGAAGTGCTGGTCACAGATGGACCACAACACCACCTCGCTGATCTCGTCAGGAGAGTGTGAACCATCACGCGAACTCCGGCGGGCATCTTCCCCGCGGCTTTTGGCTGCTGGCCATCGAACAAAGACGGCCAAAGCATCGCGCGCTTTCAGATGCGCTTCTGCGGCCGTCTGGAACGCTCTTGCTTCCGATGTTAGGAAGCCACTGGAGCTATGCATTTCAAAATAATCCAAACTGAAAGCTTGTTGTGTTAAGTTTGTTTTCCTTCCTCCGAACCTCCGATTAGCACGGTTGGCTACGTACGGTGCGAAAGAAGTTCAACACGCGTACATACACAGTGTGAAACTGAGTGGATAGGAGCCACATGGGGAGTGCGGGAAGAGGTATGGGGAGACGAAGCGGACAGGGAACTTGGGATGAAGAGAGATGCATGGTTAGGGTTGCCACCCGTCCCACTGTGGATATGAATCGGTGAGTTACCGAGTGCCTTGTCGAATGCATTAATTAATTAGTGGGTCGATGAATAAACATGGATTAATTAATGAATTACTGTACTGGGTGAGTGAAGGAATGAGTGAGTGCATCAGTCGGTGAGTGATAGGTCTCTGTTACATTGTGGACCCAAACCCGCGAACATTTCTCCGTGAGGGCGGCGAGGTCGGGCCCTGACTTCTGAAGCTCAGCAGGTTTGAGCCTGGATAGCGTCTTCAGTTTACGAACGAGGGTTCTCGGCACACGCGGCGAAACGTCGGACATCGTGCAGCACGCCCCTAACGGGTGCGGGATTGACCGTGAACGACGATGCGCCGTCTGCCTCACTCAGAGTGGACGTTAAATTCAGACGTTGTCGACCCCGCGACCTCATTCTAAACGAAGCACGGTCCAAGTTGGAAAAATGATACACATCGCTAAATTACTCGCTGGATAGAGCAACGCCGCCTCCTGCCGTGGCACTCCTGGAGACTGTGCAGCAGCAGCAACAGCAGCAGCAGCGCCTTCTCTGGCGACGATTGCCTTGTGCCACACAGGGACAGCTGCCACCGGGGGTGCCCTAGGCCAGTTCAGACAGCAACATTGTTGAACTAACGCGAAACGATCGCAGGATGTCAAACGCAGCGACGCCTTCCTGCGCGTGATGATCGGCCTGCGCTATGAGAACGATAGTGCCCATGTAAAACGTACCCGATTGTTTTTTATTGCCAGGTTTTTTAAAGCAACGTTGGTGGTTCTCCCTTTAAAACTCGTAATTCGAGTCTCTGTTTGTAATGTCGGCGATCTCCTCCTCCCTCCCGTCCAGGTTACTTACGGGGGATTACACGCTCACCGTGCACATCGACGACTACATGGACGTCTACTGCCCGCATTCTACAGCCCCCGAACTGGAGGGCCCTGAATTGGGGGGCTCTTTGGCGGGGGGCTCCACGCCACCGCCGCCCCCCCCGGCGGAGCGGCCCGTGCTGCACATGGTGGACGCCGCGGGGTTTGCGCGCTGCGAGCACTCGAGGGGGTCCGTGCGGTGGCGCTGTGGGAGGCCTCTCCAGCGGGGCCCCCACCACCGGGACCACGGGGCGCCCCTGAGGTTCGCCGAGAAGTTCCAGCGGTTCACGCCGTTCTCGCTGGGCTTTGAGTTCGCGCCCGGGCAGGACTACTACTACATCTGTGAGTTCCCTCCGCTTGCCGTCATTGTGCGGTTGTTTTTGTATATTTATTTCCTTTGGGTAAACAGCGTCAAGATAAATTATTCATCGTTCTCATTAAACACACACACATTCACACAGCGGCCTGCGTCAGTAATCAAACCCAGGTCATTCCGAGTAAACATGTTGCCGTTGGGCCAACGTTGCATGCCCAAACGTTGGGCCAATACTGGTTATTACACTGTACGGCAAACAAAATGAAGAGGCGATGAATGCACCTCCACATTCCTATGGCAGGTGGGAGGGGGGGGACCACAGTTGGCGTTCTGCACGAAGTGGTGCGGTGCTCAATGTTGTGGACCCCAGGAGGAAGGGATGATGGGCTGGGCCAACCCCCCAACCAGGACAGATCGAGAACATTCCCAACGGAGGGGGGGGGGAAGGGGGTGGCCCCAAAATGTCAAGCGTTATAAATAGGAGACAAAGTTAATACAAAAAAAGAACAAAATTGATGTATTTCCTTTGGTAAATACAGCATCAGTCCAACGTGGGGTCTCAAGGAGGAAGTGAACCCCACCCCTAGATCCACCACTGCCTTCACCCGCCTGTGATGTGGTGAACAAAATTAACAAGCAGACAATCGGCCTCATTCACACATTTGCCCAGCTATACAAAACATCTATATATATTATATGTTGTTTTACACATCTCGTCAGCCACCCACAGCTTTCCTTCTGGGAGCGCTTAATCTCAGCAGCACTGGTTCAACATCAGTAGAGTCAGGCTTCGCTTGTGCTAACGCCGGTGAATTGCCAAGATGTTTATTGGCACGGACCCTCTCTGTGAGATGTGGGTCCTAGCTCGACGCTCAACGCTGCAAAGAAAAACACAGAATTATCACCACTGGCGACGTTGTTGAGAATATGAAGCAACACAACAACGAGCATAGGTGGCTGTGTGGGGAGGGCGGCGCGTGTCTCGTGGTGTCCGATTGCCTTACGATACGAGCACGTGCCGAACCCTCGTAGACACCTACACACGCGGGGGTGGACACAGGCAAGGGACATGTGGGTACCCAGGTATGACTGTGGCTATATGGAAACACACGTCGACATATTAGGGTGAACACACGCTTGGGTGGACACACACTTGGGTGGACACACACTTGGGTGGACACACACACGCTAGGGTGGACACATACATGCTAGGGTGGACACACACACCCTAGGGTGGACACACACACGCTAGGGTGGACACACACACGCTAGGGTGGACACACACGCTAGGGTGGACACACACACCCTAGGGTGGACACACACACGCTAGGGTGGACACACGCTAGGGTGGACACACACACTCTAGGGTGGACACACACACCCTAGGGTGGACACACGCACGCTAGGGTGGACACACACACCCTAGGGTGGACACACACACGCTAGGGTGGACACACACGCTAGGGTGGACACACGCTAACCAGCACGTCTCATTCACAGCCACTCCACTGCTCAAGGGTGACTCCCGCTGCTATCGCCTCAAAGTCCACGTTTGCTGCGGTCCAGGTGAGTCGCCCGTGCTGTCAGCCACCAAGTCAACCTCTCGTCAGCCACCCACTCACCCGCTCACACGCTCACCCACCCACCCACTCACCACACTCACACCACTCGCGCAACCCTCACCTACTCACACGCTCACTCACCCACCTACTCACCACACTCACACTCCTCGCGCAACTCTCACCTATTCACACGCTCACCCACCCACCCACTCACCACACTCACACTCCTCACGCAACTCTCACCTACTCACACGCTCACCCACCCACTCACCACACTCACACTCCTCACGCAACTCTCACCTACTCACACGCTCACCCACCCACTCACCACACTCACACTCCTCGCGCAACTCTCACCTACTCACACGCTCACCCACCCACCCACTCACCACACTCACACTTGCTTCTCTCTCGCTGCTTCTTTCCTCGCACTGCTCGACTGTGGATCTCCCTCCTATCGTCACCATTGTCTCCCCCCCCCCCCTCAAAGTGATTAAAAAAACAATAACCTCGTTCACTTCAACAAACGCGTTACACTTATCCATTACAACTTTGATGGGGGTGCTGTTTGTGGCTGACCAATCGACGTTTTGGGCCTTTGGTCCTGTGCTAAACAAACAAAAAAGTAAATAAATTTGACTTGCCACTGAAGTGGGTCCTGGCCAGAGAATCAATCTCAGTTCGCTGATTTCGTAACACGGTCCGCTAACCGCTGCGCCACCGCTCCCCACATCACCACCACGACCGCGACCAACAGCGCCACCCCACAAGCGCCGACTCGCTAACGTCGCTCGGCGAGCCGGGTGCGCTGCCAGCGGCGGCAGGTTTCGTGATCCGGGGTGAGGGGTTGGTGGGTCACACGGAGATCTGTGAAACCCTCAAATCCCCTCGGGGGAGCGGCGAGGTGGTGGCCAGGAGATGCGATTGCTGCCAGTGAGATACGAAGCGGGCGCGGTGTGTGGAGCGGAGTTATTGACGAACGCAGGAGAGTTAAAGAGTTAGTTAGTTCACTGTGCTTGTGCACCACTGCCAACGCAGCAGTAGCAGCAGCAGTCACCAGACAAGCAGCAGTAGTGGCAGCAGCAGCAGCAGCAGTCACCAGACGAGTCTAATGTAATATGGAATTGGTCAAACTCGCCAATGTCGCAGGACCCTCCTGAATAGGAGTTCTGAGAGTCGATGCATGACCCCGTATTAACATCATCGTCATCGTTATAATGTTCACGAATATGATTCCTGTGTAAGTGAATATTGTTAATCTAACAATTGGTATTGTTGTGAAAGCGGCGATTAACAGCATGGAGTTTGCTTGGCTGAGCTTAGTCCATCGCGTGCTCTAACCCCTAACCCCCACCCTAACCCCCACCCTTAACCCAGGCGACACTACGGCTAATCCCACACGCTCGCATCGCACGGCGAGCGAAGGTCCCGCACAAGCAGGTGGGCAACGCACGCACACACTCACACACACGCTCACACACACACGCTCACACACGCACGCTAACACACGCACGCTCGCACACACACGCACGCTCACACGTGCTCACACACGGGCGCACACACTCACATGCACGGTCACACACGCGCCCACACTGACACACGCTCACACACGCTCACGCATAAAACCACAAAGATCCCCCATATAGCCATAACAGACTGTAGGAGCAAGTGCTGTTAGTGAGCACCACGCCCGGCTACCTTTGTCTCCCTAGTGGCGATGTTTATCCACCGCATCCAAACACTCATGTGAGGCTGAGTCGACCTAGGGGAGGCCCAGGATCGGTTCAAATAATCGTCACTGCTGTCGGCCGAGAGCGGGAATCGAACTTGGGTCATAGCGCAGCGCGCTAACCACTACACTACCTCTCCCCACTACAGAACACACAGACACGCGCACAGGAAAAACAGAGACACACCCACAGAGACACACACACATTGACTACTATATTTACCCAAGAATGTCAGTGTGTAACGCACGTGACATCACTCCACATAGACCAGCCCCCCTCATTAATAATCATGAATGGGTGACGTCACTCCGCATGAAGGTTTATGCAAATTAGCTTAATTTTTACTTTTCTTTATGGAAATTAAAGCTAATAAAGAAATAAAAGCAGCAACTAATATAACGAGACAAAAAAGGCGATGTGTGTCCCGCGCATGACGTCACTCCACATGGGGCAACCCCCCCCCCCTCATTAATAATCATGATCTGAACAATTTTTCTATTGAATATTTCAGATTCACTGCAATATTCACCCGTCCTTGGACGGGAAAACAAGCTAGTGTCTACATAAATAAAGACCTTAATCTTGTACGTCTGAAAAACCTCTTGAGTACCTCCCGACAAGGTTGAAAGCTGAAATTGTGTACATAGGTAGCTCTGAGGACTCAAACAAAAGGAAACATCTGAAAAACAGACATTTCTCAAGTTGAGGCCCCCGAAATCTCGGTTTAAGTGTCCCGTAGACATGTCTGTGCGTGTCATTCAGAAACCGTCCACGTGAAACAGCAAATACGATGAAAGCGATAACCATTGTTGATTATTTTATTGATTTTGAGATATTTCGGAGTTTCCCCTCACAGAGTATTAAGTTAATTATGTTTTGTTCTTTCTAATAAAAAATAGAACGGGTTCTTTAAATTTGAGTGATTTCCAATGAGTACGTCTTTAAATATAAGAAGTTGAATCAAGTCAAGAGTTTTAGTTTTGGTGAAAAGATACGAAATTTTTTGAGTAAATGTTAGTGTCTGATCGTAGATAAAAAGTGTAATAAAATCACATCAGTTCCTTATTATATCTGTTGAAAACTTTTGCCTGGCGAAGACAGTCTTTATGAACTACGACACATGCATTGACATGTGTGTGTGAGACAGACTGGCACACACATCACATGTGTACACACAGACACACACAGTCACACACAGACACACACAGTCACACACAGACACACACAGTCACACACAGACACACACAGCCACACACAGTCATACACAGTCACACACAGTGGCACACAGTCACACACAGAGGCAAGCAAACACAAAGATCCCCCGTATAGCTATTACCAGGCTGTTGGGGAAAGCGCTGTTATCGAGCAAGACACAACAAGTTCTCACTCAGTAGTCCGTGGGCGGCAGCAGAACTCGGTACCCACCTTGGGTAGAAAAACACGCAGGTACATACACACACGTACACACACACGTACACACACACGTACACACACACACGTACATACACACACGTACACACACACACACACACGTACACACACACACGTACACACACACGTACACACACTCACACGTACACACACACGTACACACACACGTACATACACGTACGTACACACACACACGTACATACACACACGTACACACACACACACACACGTACACACACACACTTACACACACACACACACGTACACACACACACTTACACACACACACACACACGTACACACACACACACGTACACACACACACGTACATACACACAAAAAAAGACGAAGATAAAGATCCCCTGTATAGCCTTAACAGACTGTACGGGCAAGTGCTGTTAGCGAGCACCTATGAAGGCCGGAAAGGTACACGAGGGGGTGGGTGGCCAGCACCACGCCCGACCGCCTTTGTCTCCCCAGTTGCGATGTTTACACACCGCACCAGGTACTCATTTCAGGCTTAGTCGACCTAGGGGAGGCCCAGGATCGGTTCACATAATCGTCACTGGTGTTGGCCGTGAGCGGGAATCGAACCCGGGTTGCCAGATTCGTAGCGCAGCGCGCTAACCACTACACCAACCGCTCCCCACACGTACACACGTACACACACGTACACACACACGTACACACACACGTACACACACACGTACACACACACCCACCCACACAGCGATATGTTATGGGACTGTCAGGCCGACTGTTGAGGTGGAGAAAGTGCCGGAGCCTGATTTGAATGTCGCCCCGGGTGCGCTGCCGAACTCATCACCCCCCCCCCCCCCCAGCGTGGGAGGCAGGGGACTCAATCCGAGCCCCCTCGGGCACAAGCAGCAGTAGGCAGCGGTGCCTCTGGACTGTGCTGACGAGTCCCAGCAAGGGTAAAACCGCCCTGCAGATGTATCGCTGCCTTTCTCGCTGGCTACATTTTAAATGCCAGTCTCCCTCCGCTCTCGTGAGCGGGGACCATCACAGATGGCTGCGTCATCTGGACATGCGAAGCGTGCACGAGATTCCTGTTGTGCTTCGCGATTGAAGACGCCTGCTTGCGTGTATCCAGTGCATTTATATACCTCGACATTTGAATACGGTACTAACTATGGACACGAGACAAAGATCCGCCCGAATAGCCTGAACCGATTTGTAGGGGAAAGTGCTATTAGTGAGCACCTATGAAGGTCGGCATGGCACACGAGGGGGTGGTTGGGCCAGCACTACGCCTGGCCGCCTTTGTCTCCCCTTGCACACCTCCAATTAGCGCAGTTGGCTACATACATTTTTCACACTTCACCAAGTACTCTATGAAGGCTGAGTGAAGCTATAACACACACGCACAATACTTACACACACGGACACACAGGCTCACAGACACAAAGACTCACTCACAGACAGGTGTCCCCTCTCCCATGTGCCACCTTTTGTGTCATAGGGGCCCCAGCGGGGGTGCAAACGCCGCTTGTTACAGAGGTTTGCGGTTTGATTCCGGCAGGCCGCCCTGGTTAACTTTGTGGCTGTACATATCAACCGCAATAGCAATGCTACTACGCGCCGTCTGCTTCACTCACAGAGGGCGTTAAAGATTCCCTGACACCGTTCGCAAGAGTTAGGCCGTTGTGTGCCAGACTCACGGCTTATATTCGCCAAATTCGAAAACGATCGTCATATTAGTTGAATGGGATCACACGCAGCAGCAGCAGCAGCAGCAGCAGCAGCAATCGTTGCCGCCTTGTGCTGGCAGACTAAATGCCGGCTTTGCAGGCCAGGTGCCCAGAACCCTCACGCCGCACAGGGACAGCTGCCACTGGGGGTTCCCTAGGCTAGACCACGTAGGATCCATCGCCCCCTACCAGCGGAGGGATCCCGCTTGCGGCCCGGGTGCCGAGACACACTTCACGCCGCACAGAGACAGCTGCCACCGGGGGTGCCCTTTCACAACGCGTCGAGGCGCCACGACGCGAGCTCCGCTGCTGTCCCCGCGCCGCGTCTCACTCCGCCCTGTCCCTCCGCCGCCTCCCGCACAGACGAACCGAGGGTGGCCGCCGCCGTTGGCACGGGGGCCGCCGGGGCCACGGCGCCCCGGGGAGGGGGGCCGGCGATGGGCCTCGCCGCCGCCGCCGCCGCACTGCTCGCGTCACGGCTCCTATAGCGACCGCGACCACGGGCGACGGCGCTCCCTCGAGGTCTGCTGTGAAGCTGGGGGAGGAGGGGGAGGAGGGAGTGCATGGGAGGAGGAGACGGAGGAGCACGGGGGAATTAGCAGAGGAGCCCCTGAACGGAAAGATTGGAAGGGCGCACGCGACACCACCCGCCTCGCTCCATCCCAGGGATGGACTCGGCCTCGACCTGGGAATGCTGCGAGTGGACGATGACTATGCAACGCGCGATGGTTGCACAATGACGGTGGTTGAATGCTGCAGGAAGATGATGATGACGGTGGTGGTGGTGATTGCTGCAAGCAGAAGAGGAGACTCTGAAGAACGAGCATCGTCACCGTCATAATCACCACCACCACCGCTGATGAGTGACACAGACGGTGATGAGGACTCGTTATGAGTGATGACTATTTTAATGGTGCAGGAAGAGATGGTGGTGATGATGAACGGTGCAGTAAATGGTGGTGATGACGATCATGATGCTTTCTGCACACCACGTGCTAATGACGGCAAAGTGGGAATCCTGGTTGGGTGGGGGTTGACTCATCCTGACCTCCGGGGTAGATAAAACGACTTTGTGGGGGAGATCAACAGCAGTTGTCCTATGGATAGACCTACCCCCGTCAGAGGAATGTGGAATTTGCAGGGCTGTAAATGGGAGATGAGCACCGATGCTCATGTGAGCAGCAGCAGCAGCAGGAGCAGCAGCAGCAGGAGCAGCAGCAGCAGGAGCAGGAGCAGCAGCAGCAGGAGCAGCAGGAGCTCCCTCGTTGGCTCTGGTGATCGCTGTTGTTGAAGACTGTGGTGATGGTGGTTGGACTCGTGATGGTGGATGAATCATACTGGTCACGAATGCTGTTCAATGGTGCTGCTTGATGTTGAATGCAGTCGATGGATGATGGTGATGGTGATGTTGATGTTCTCGTATCTGCACGGGTCCTCTCGGACTCGCATGTAAATGTGTACATTAAACTCGCTTCTATAAACGCGCACTCGTCCACAAAATATACCTGGCGCACGCGCTCGTCCACACAAGCAGGGTGGCCACCAGCCTGGCGACCGGCGTCTGGGTTCGTGCGCTGCTGGAGGCGCCTCGTCCTGGGATCTGTCGCCGGCTGAGCCGTGCCACTGCAGGAGACCGCGCAGTGCTGGGAACGGAACCCCCGGCTCACAGAGTCCGCAGTGGAACAGATGGCGACCCTACCACTCACCGATTGATCCACTCACCCGTCAATGAATTCATTAATTGATTCATTAACGCACCCATGTTTATTATCCATCAACCCACTAATTCATGCATTCGCCAAGGCACTCAGTAACCCGCCAATTCACTCCACGGTGGAACAGATGACGAACCCGACCACTCGTCGACTGATCCACTCGCCCATTCACTCACTCGCCCATTACTGAATTCATGAACCAACACATCCGTTTATGCATTCGCCATGGCACTCGGTGAACTCACCAACCCACCCACCCACTCACTCCGGCTGCCTCCAGCCCAGGGATCGGCGTCTGTGTGCGGGCGGCGCGTGATGCCTCGTCCCGGCACCTGGCCCCTGGCCACTGGCCGTGTTGTGTTGAACTGCGACAACCTTCTGACGATAGGCCTCCTCGGCTCACGTTGCAGGCTTTCGCGACCAATATCATCCATAAAAGAGGTTCTGGGTTAGATCGCGTAAATATATAAATGTGTCATTAAAACCCGCCACCACCCGACACAGCCAACTAGGAAGGGTTGTCACGTAAACAGAACGTGGCCAATTCGTCACTAGTACAGCTGGCTGTCACCTGACGAAGCTAGTTGTAATTGCTGGCAAAACGTCGTACTCGGATTGAAAATGTTGTGGCTTGGCTCTCCAGCACACAACCGGCTGGCGGGGGTGACGCAGCCCATCACGCGATAAAATAGCGACTACTCTGCGGGGAGTATGAACAGGGCTTGTACTGTGGGTGCCACAGGAAGGTGATGGCCATTGCCTCACTCTGTTCGAGACGGGAATCAGGAAGACGTATTGACAATTCTGGCAATAACCATGGGAACGCCTCGAACTGTAAGTGTGTTCCCGACGAGGCTGGCTGGCACGTGGCTCGGGATCGCGTCGCCAGGGGCAGAGGAACCGGTTTGTGGTCCCGTCCCTCTGCCCGGACAAGAGCAGGCGGCGTCACGTGACAGAGGATGGAGCGCCACGCGGAGACTCGCACCCAGCTGCGGCGCACGCGATCCCCCCCCCTCGATCCCTCCCCCTCGATCCCCCCCCCCTCGATCCCCCCTCCCCCTCGATCCCCCCTCCCCCTCGATCCCCCCTCCCCCTCGATCCCCCCTCCCCCTCGATCCCCCCCCCCCTCGATCCCCCCTCCCCCTCGATCCCCCCCCCCCCTCGATCCCCCCCCACCCCCCTCTTCTCCACTCCTCCCCTGGCCACCCCTCTGGGAATGTCATCTCACCTGCACTGTACACTGTACTCTCGACTGCTGACTCCGCACCTCCAATCCCTTTTCACCCCCCCTCTCTCCACCATCACCTCCCCCTCTCCACCATCACCCCCCCCTCTCCACCATCACCTCCCCCTCTCCACCATCACCTCCCCCTCTCCATCATCACCCCCCTCTCTCCACCATCACCCCCCTCTCTCCACCATCACCCCCCTCTCTCCACCATCACCTCCCCCTCTCCATCATCACCCCCCTCTCTCCACCATCACCCCCCTCTCTCCACCATCACCCCCCTCTCTCCACCATCACCCCCCTCTCTCCACCATCACCCCCCTCTCTCCACCATCACCTCCCCCTCTCCACCATCACCTCCCCCTCTCCACCATCACCTCCCTCTCTCCACCATCACCCCCCTCTCTCCACCATCACCCCCCTCTCTCCACCACCACCCCCCTCTCTCCACCATCACCCCCTCTCTCCACCATCACCCCCCTCTCTCCACCATCACCCCCCTCTCTCCACCATCACATCCCTCTCTCCACCATCACCTCCCCCTCTCCACCATCACCTCCCCCTCTCCACCATCACCTCCCTCTCTCCACCATCACCCCCCTCTCTCCACCATCACCTCCCCCTCTCCACCATCACCCCCCTCTCTCCACCATCACCTCCCTCTCTCCACCATCACCTCCCTCTCTCCACCATCACCCCCCTCTCTCCACCATCACCCCCTCTCTCCACCATCACCCCCTCTCTCCACCATCACCCCCTCTCTCCACCATCACTCCCCTCTCTCCACCATCACCTCCCTCTCTCCACCATCACCCCCTCTCTCCACCATCATCCCCTCTCTCCACCATCACCCCCCCTCTCCACCATCACCTCCCTCTCTCCACCATCACCCCCCTCTCTCCACCATCACCTCCCTCTCTCCACCATCACCCCCCTCTCTCCACCATCACCTCCTCCTCTCTCCACCATCACCCCCCTCTCTCCACCATCACCTCCCTCCCTCCACCATCACCCCCTCTCTCCACCATCACCCCCCTCTCTCCACCATCACTCCCCTCTCTCCACCATCACCCCCCTCTCTCCACCATCACCCCCCTCTCTCCACCATCACCTCCCTCTCTCCACCATCACCCCCCTCTCTCCACCATCACCCCCCTCTCTCCACCATCACCCCCTCTCTCCACCATCACCTCCCCCTCTCCACCATCACCTCCCCCTCTCCACCATCACCTCCCTCTCTCCACCATCACCCCCCTCTCTCCACCATCACCCCCCTCTCTCCACCATCACCCCCTCTCTCCACCATCACCTTCCTCTCTCCACCATCACCCCCCTCTCTCCACCATCACCCCCCTCTCTCCGCCATCACCCCCTCTCTCCACCATCACCTTCCTCTCTCCACCATCACCCCCCTCTCTCCACCATCACCTCCCTCTCTCCACCATCACCCCCCTCTCTCCACCATCACCCCCTCTCTCCACCATCCCCCCCCTCTCTCCACCATCACCTCCCTCTCTCCACCATCACCTCCCTCTCTCCACCATCACCCCCTTCTCTCCACCATCACCTCCCTCTCTCCACCATCACCTCCCTCTCTCCACCATCACCCCCCTCTCTCCACCATCACCTCCCTCTCTCCACCATCACCCCCCTCTCTCCACCATCACCCCCCTCTCTCCACCATCACCCCCCTCTCTCCACCATCACCCCACTCTCTCCACCATCACCCCCCTCTCTCCACCATCACCCCCCTCTCTCCACCATCACCTCCCTCTCTCCACCATCACCTCCCTCCCTCCACCATCACCTCCCTCTCTCCACCATCACTCCCTCTCTCCACCATCACCTCCTCCTCTCTCCACCATCACCCCCCTCTCTCCACCATCACCTCCCTCTCCCGCTTCTCCCGTGTCTCACCGTCTCCCTGAGTGTCTCCACTGCCTCCCACGTCTCCCCTCGCCCCGTGTCTCGTCTCCCCCTCCTGCACCCCCCTCCCAGTCAGAGTCTCGCTTCCCGCGGGACTCATCAGCGATGTTAATAAATCAAACTCAACAAGCGGACGAGTCGCATCCCATCAGCCACCACGGCATCTTTCTGGGAGTGCATCGTCTCAGCACCACGCGTTACAATATGAACACAAACTCATTCAGTCTCTCATCAGCAGAGTCGCTTTCATGTCAACGTGGCGGTGGGCAAGGGAGCCCGCGGACGGCTTCAGGAGTAGCCTGGTGGTCACCATGGAGACTCAATACTCACATAGACACCCATAGACTCACACAGACACCCATAGACACCCATAGACTCACACAGACACCCATAGACACCCATAGACTCACACAGACACCCATAGACTCACATAGACTCACATAGACTCACATAGACTCACACAGACACCAATAGACTCACATAAACTCACATAGACACCCATAGACTCACATAGACACCCATAGACTCACATAGACTCACATAGACACCCATAGACTCACACAGACACCCATAGACTCACATAGACTCACATAGACACCCATAGACTCACATAGACTCACATAGACACCCATAGACTCACACAGACACCCATAGACTCACATAGACTCACATAGACACCCATAGACTCACATAGACTCACATAGACACCCATAGACTCACATAGACACCCATAGACTCACATAGACTCACATAGACACCCATAGACTCACACAGACACCCATAGACTCACATAGACTCACATAGATACCCATAGACTCACATAGACTCACATAGACACCCATAGACTCACACAGACACCCATAAACTCACATAGACTCACATAGACACCCATAGACTCACATAGACTCACATAGACACCCATAGACTCACACAGACACCAATAGACTCACATAGACGCACATAGACACCCATAGACTCACATAGACACCCATATACTCATATAGACACCCATAGACTCACACAGGCTCACATAGACACCCAACACCAGGGACTCGGGCAGGTACCCCCCCTCTCGCTGAGTCAGGGTCCCCTCTGCGTCTCTCCACAAGTACCCCAGTCTCTCCCCGAAGCCAGGGACACCCTTCACTGCGCCAGGGACCCCCTTCACTGCGCCAGGGACCCCCTTCACTGCGCCAGGGACCCCCTTCACTGCGCCAGGGACCCCCTTCACTGCGCCAGGGACCCGGCCCCTCACGTTTAGTCCCCTCTACGCGTCTATCCACTTGCGTCCCTGAACCAGTCAGAGACCCCCCCCCCCCCCGTCTCTCCGAGCCAGACCACCCCGCTCATTCCTCGGGACAGGTGCCCTCTCGTACCCCTCCACCTGGACACCAGGCACCCGTCTCCCCGAGCCCTGCTGCAGGGTCCCCGCTGTGATCCCCGTGAGTCCCACTGACGCAGACGGGCGACAGGAATAAATCTCTTTCCGATGAGCTCATCACGAGGGGGGGGGAGAGGTGGGTGGGGAGGTGGAAAATAGAATTGTGGAGGACGCGGCACGCGATGCGAGTGATGTCAGTGCGCGTGGGAGCACAGCTGAGGGCCCCGAGCGACCATCACCACCGCCCACAGCACCAACAACATCACCACCCACATCATCACCACCCACAGCATCACCATCACCACCATCACCACCACCCACATCATCACCACCCACATCATCAACATCATCACCACCCACGTCACCACCACCCACAGCACCAACACCCACAGCATCAACATCATCACCATCACCACCACCCACAGCATCACCACCCACAGCATCAACATCACCACCCACATCATCACCATCACCACCACCCACATCATCACCATCACCACCACCCACATCATCACCACCCACAGCATCAACATCACCACCACCACCCACATCATCACCACCCACAGCATCACCATCATCCCCATCATCACCCCCCTCAGCATCACCATCATCACCACCCACATCATCACCATCACCACCCACATCATCACCATCACCACCACCCACATCATCACCATCACCACCCACATCATCACCATCACCACCACCCACATCACCACCATCACCCCCAACAGCACCCACATCATCGCCACCGCTGTGTCGCATGCCATCAATTGAAACTTTAAGATAAAAATAAATGCACCGTTCTGACAGCTACAGGCTAAGTGCTGCCTGTAAGCGCATTATTAATTAATACTCCTTTTCATTGCATGGCTCTTCAGTTCATCATATATTGATTACCTGTGATTCACCCATCTGGTAATATGCACCGCATGTTTGCCGATGACCACAATCCATGATAATTATTGTTATTACAGGAAACCCCTCTTATCTTCGCACTTGGTAGGCGCACGGTGATGACACAATTCGCTCTTGCTTAGCAGCTACAACCCCGACCGTTTATATATTTTTTTAATGAATAACATTGGTCGCGAAAGCCTACGTGTTAAATTTACTCACTCATCTGTTAACTCACCTACTCACTCACCTTCTCACTCACTCACCTACTCACTCACCTACTCACTCACCTACTAACTCACCTGCTCATTCGCCTGCTCACTCACCTACTAACTCACCTTCTCATTCACCCACTCACTCACTCACCCACTCACTTACTCACTCACCTACTCACTCACCTTCTCACTCACCTACTCACTCACCCACTCACTCACCTACTTACTCACCCACTTACTCACCTACTTACTCACCTACTCACTCACCCACTCACTCACCTACTCACTCACCCTCTCACTCACCCACTCACTCACCCACTCACTCACCCACTCACTCACCTTCTCATTCACCTACTCACTCACCCACTCATTCACCTACTCACTCAGTCACCCACTCACTCACCTACTCACTCACCCACTCACTCACCCGCTAACTCACCTACTCACTCACCGACTCACTCACCTGTGTTCCTTAGCCCAGTTAGTGAGCGCCTATTGCCGCCTAGGGGCCGCTACGCGAACTGCGAGCGAGGCCACACACCTTGGGGTGTCGAGGGATTTTTATTTAAAATGTATTTAAATAACAGCTGCCGAGTACGGGCCCAAAACGTCAAACGGTCGGCAACAAACAGCACTCTCATCAAAGTTGTAATGGATAAGAGTGTATGAACGTGTCTGGGGGGGGGGAGAGGGTGATGAGGAGTGTTGAGTCACCACGGCGGTGATGATGATGGTGATGATGGTGGTGGTGATGATGATGGTGATGATGATGGTGGTGGTGATGATGGTGATGATGCTGATGGTGGTGATGGGGATGATGATGGTGGTGATGATGGTGGTGATGATGATGGTGGTGGTGATGATGATGGTGATGATGATGGTGATGATGATGGTGGTGATGATGATGGTGATGATGGTGGTGGTGGTGATGGTGATGATGATGGTGGTGATGATGGTGATGATGGTGGTGATGGTGATGATGATGGTGGTGATGGTGATGATGGTGGTGGTGATGATGGTGATGATGGTGGTGGTGATGATGATGGTGGATGATGGTGGTGATGATGATGATGATGATGGTGGTGATGATGATGATGATGGTGGTGATGATGATGGTGATGATGGTGGTGGTGATGATGGTGGTGATGATGGTGGTGATGATGGTGGTGATGATGGTGATGATGGTGGTGATGGTGGTGATGGTGATGATGGTGGTGGTGATGATGGTGGTGGTGATGATGGTGGTGGTGATGATGATGGTGATGATGGTGGTGATGATGATGATGGTGGTGATGATGGTGATGATGGTGGTGGGGATGATGATGGTGATGATGATGGTGGTGATGATGATGGTGGTGATGATGATGGTGGTGATGATGGTGGTGATGATGATGGTGGTGATGATGATGATGGTGGTGATGGTGATGGTGGTGGTGATGATGATGGTGGTGGGGATGATGATGGTGATGATGATGGTGGTGATGATGATGGTGGTGATGATGGTGGTGATGATGATGGTGGTGATGATGATGATGATGGTGGTGATGGTGATGATGGTGGTGGTGATGATGGTGGTGGTGATGATGGTGGTGGTGATGATGATGGTGATGATGGTGGTGATGATGATGATGGTGGTGATGATGGTGATGATGGTGGTGGGGATGATGATGGTGATGATGATGGTGGTGATGATGGTGGTGATGATGATGGTGGTGATGATGGTGGTGATGATGATGGTGGTGATGATGATGATGGTGGTGATGGTGATGGTGGTGGTGATGATGATGGTGGTGGGGATGATGATGGTGATGATGATGGTGGTGATGATGATGGTGGTGATGATGGTGGTGATGATGATGGTGGTGATGATGATGGTGGTGATGGTGATGATGAGGGAGCAGGGGGGGAGGGGAGCGGGGGGAGTAGGGGGGGAGGGGGGGAAGGCTAAGTAAGGGGGGGAGCAGGGGGGGCTCCGCAGTGACGTGTGAGGACATTGCCAGCTAAAGTGGGTGCGGCAATCGGTCAGGGGGGGGGGAAATATTTTATTCGTCTCTCGTGGTGGCCCGCAAAGGGGGGGGGGGGGGCTGTGGGCTCCGTGGGGCTGGCAGCCCAACTCGGGCCAAGCTGGAGGGTCGCGAGGGGCAGATCGCCCGCTGGAGGCGAGCTCCGCCAGGGGGTCCTCAACTCCCCCCCCCATACCACGTGCCCCCCCCCATACCACGTGCCCCCCCCCATACCACGTGCCCCCCCCATACCACGTGCCCCCCCCATACCACGTCCTCCCCCCATACCACGTGCCCTCCATACCACGTGCCCCCCATACCACGTGCCCCCCCATACCACGTGCCCCCCCCATACCACGTGCCCCCCCATACCACGTGCCCCCCCATACCACGTGCCCCCCCATACTACGTGCCCCCCCATACCACGTGCCCCCCCCATACCACGTGCCCCCCCCATACCACGTGCCCCCCCCCATACCACGTGCCCCCCCCCATACCACGTGCCCCCCCCATTCCACGTGCCCCCCCCAAACCACGTGCCCCCCCCATTCCACGTGCCCCCCCCAAACCACGTGCCCCCCCCCATACCACGTGTCCCCCATACCACGTGTCCCCCCCCCCCATACCACGGGGGGGGGAGGTGACGATTTACCATGGAGACAGGTGTAGGGGTGTGATGCACGGGGGGGAGGTGACGAGTTACCATGGAGACAGGTGTAGGGGTGTGATGAACGGGGGGGGGGGGGGTGACGAGTTGCCATGGAGACTGGTGTAGGGGTGTGATGAACGGGGGGGGGGTGACGAGTTGCCATGGAGACTGGTGTGGGAGTGTGATGAGCGGGGGGGGGGGGGGGTGACGGGTTACCATGGAGACTGGTGTGGGGGTGTGATGAGCGGGGGGGGGGGGGGTTCAGTAACTGATTCACGAAGCCAGAGTGGGGGGCTCGCCCCGTTGGTTTCGTTGTGGGGGGCCACCCTCCTCCCCGCGCCACAACTCCCCCTCCTCGTCCTCCTCCTCCTCCTCGTCCTGCCCGGAGCCGCCCCCCTCCTGCGGCGGCACCGCGGGGGGCCCCGTGGGGGGGGCCGCAGGGGGCTCGGGGGAGGGGGGCCCCGTGGGGGGGGCCGCGGGGGAGGGGCGCTCGGGCGAGGCGCCCCCCCCCGCGGCGTGGCCGAGCACGCGGCGCTGGAGCTCGGCGATGTCGTGGCGCAGGTCGGCCACGAGCAGCAGCAGGAAGTCGAACGAGCCCGGGGGGCCCTGCCGGGGGGGGGGGGCGGGGGGCAGGGGAGGAGGGGGGCGCATGGAGTGGGTCGGCGTGTGGGGTGGGTAGGGTGTGGGTAGGGTGTGGGTAGGGTGTGGGTGTGGGTGTGGTGGGGGTGGGGTGTAGGTGGGGTGTGGGTGGGTGTGGGTGGGGTGTGGGTGTGGGTGTGGTGGGGGTGGGGTGTAGGTGGGGTGTGGGTGGGGTGTGGGTGGGGTGTGGTGTGGGTGGGGTGTGGGTGGGGTGTGAGTGGGGTGTGGGTGGGGTGTGGGTGGGGTGTAGGTGGGGTGTGGGTGTGGGTGTGGTGGGGGTAGGGTGTGGGTGGGGTGTGGGTAGGGTGTGGGTAGGGTGTGGTGTGGGTGGGGTGTGGGTGAGGTGGGGGTGTGGTGGGGGTGGGGTGTAAGTGGGGTGTGGGTGGGGTGTGGTGTGGGTGGGGTGTGGGTGGGGTGTGGTGTGGGGTGTGGTGTGGGTGGGGTGTAGGTGGGGTGTGGGTGTGGTGTGTGGTGGGGGTGGGGTGTAGGTGGGGTGTGGGTGGGGTGTGGGTGGGGTGTGGTGGGGGTGGGGTGTGGGTGGGGTGGGGGTGTGGTTGGGGTGGGGTGTAAGTGGGGTGTGGGTGGGTGGTGGTGTGGGTGGGGTGTGGGTGGGGTGTGGGTGTGGGTGTGGTGGGGGTGGGGTGTAGGGGGGTGTGGGTGGGTGTGGGGGTGGGTGTGGGTGTGGGTGTGGTGTGGGTGGGGTGTAGGTGTGGGTGTGGTGGGGTGTGGGTGGGGTGTGGTGTGGCTGTGGTGGGGGTGGGGTGTAGGTGGGGTGTGGGTGGGGTGTGGGTGGGGTGTGGTGTGGGTGGGGTGTGGGTGGGGTGGGGGTGTGGTGGGGGTGGGGTGTAGGTGGGGTGTGGGTGGGGTGTGGTGTGGGTGGGGTGTGGGTGGGGTGGGGTGTGGATGTAGGTGGGTGGGGTGGGTGTAGGTGGGGTGGGGGTGGGTGGTGGGGGTGGGGTGTGGGTGTGGGTGGGGGTGGATGGGGTGTAGGTGGGTGTGGGGTGGTGTGGTGGGGGGGGTGTAGGTGGGGGTGTGTGTGGGGTGTGGTGGCATGGGGGGTGGGGTGTGGTGTGGGTGGGGTGGTGTGGTGGGGGTTGTGGTGTAGTGGGTGTTGGTGGGTGTGGTTGGGTGGGGTGATGGGTGGGGGTGGTGGGGGTGGGGTGTAAGGTGGGGTGTGGGGTGGTGGGGTGTGGTGTGGGTGGGGTGTAGGGTGGGGTGTGGTGTGGTGTGTGTGGGTGGGTGTGGTGTGGGTGGGGTGTAGGTGGGGTGGGTGTGGTGTGTGTGTGGGGTGGGGGTGGGGTGTAGGTGGTGTAGGTGGGGGTGTGGGTGGGGTGGTGGTGTGGGTGGGGTGTGGGGTGGTAGGTGGGGTGTGGGTGGGGTGTGGGTGTAAGGTGGGGTGTGGGTGGGGTGTGGTGTGGGTGGAGGTGGGTTGGGTGTTGGGTGTAGGTGGGGTGTGGGTGGGGTGTGGTGTGGGGGGGGTGTGTGGGGTGGGGTGTAGGTGGGGTGTGGGTGTGGGTGTGTGGGGTTTGGTGTCGGTGGGGTAGTGGGTGGGGTGGGTGTGTAGGTGGGTGTGGTGGTGTAGTGGGTGGAGTGTGGGTTGTGGGTGGTGGAGTGTGGGTGGGGGTGGGGTGGTAGGGTGGGTGTGGGTGGGGTGTGGTGGGGTGGGGTGTGGGTGGGGTGGGTGATTGGGGTGTGGTGGGGGTCGGGGTGTAGGTGGGGTGTGGGTGGGGTGTGGTGTGGGTGGGGTGTGGGTGGGGTGTGGTGTGGGTGGGGGTGTGGGTGGGGTGGGGTGTAGGTGGGGATGTGGGTGGGTGTGTGTGGTGGGGTGGGGTGTGGGTGTGGGGGGGGTTAGGTGTGGGTGTGGTGTGGGTGGGGGTGGGTGTAGGGTGGGGTGTAGGTGGGGTGTGGGTGTGGGTGGTGTGGGTGGGGTGTGGGTGGGTGGTGGGGTGGGTGTGGGTGGGTGTGGTGTGGGTGTGTAAGTGGTGGGGTGGGTTGGGAGTGTGGTGTGGGTGGGGTGTGGTGTGGGTGGGTGTGTGTGGGTGGGGTTAGTTGGGTGTGGTGTGGGTATTGGGGTGGGGTGGGGTGTAGGTGGGGGTGGTGAGGTGGGGTGTGGTGGGGTTGTGGGTGGGTGTGGTGGGTGTGGGGTGTGGGTGTGGTGGGTGGGGGTGGGGGTGTGGTGGGTGGGTGTAAGTGGGTGTGGGTGGGGTGTGGGTGGGGTGGGGTGTGGTGGGGGTGTGGTGTGGGTGGGGTGTGGTGGGGTGGGGTGTAGGTGGGGTGTGGGTGGGTGTGGGTGGTGGGTGGGGTGTGGTGTGGGTGGGGTGTGGTGGGGTGTGGGTGGGGTGGTGGTGTGGGTGGGGTGTGGTGTGGGTGGGGTGTAGGTGGGGTGTGGGTGGGGTGTGGTGGGGTGGGTGTGGTGGGTGTGGGGGGTGTGGTGGGGTGTGGGTGGGGTGTGGTGGGGTGGGGGGTGTGGGGGGTGGGGTGTAGGTGGGGTGTGGGTGGGGTGGGTGTGGGTGGGGGTGTGGTGTGGGTGGGTGTAGGTGGGGTGTGGGTGGGGGTGGTGTGGTGGGGGGTGGGGTGTGGGGTGGGGGTGTGGTGGGGGTGGGTGTAGGTGGGGTGTGGGTGGGGTGTGGTGTGGGGTGTGGGGTGTGGTGTGGGTGGGGTGGGTGTATGGTGGGGTGTGGGTAGGTGGTGTGGGTGGTGTGGTGTGGGTGGGGTGTGGGTGTGGTGTGGGTGGGGTGTGGTGTGGGTGGGGTGTAGGTGGGGTGTGGGTGGGGTGTGGTGGGGGTGGGGTGTGGGTGTGGTGTGGGTGGGGGGTGGGTGGGGTGGGGGTGTGGTGGGGGTGGGGTGTAGGTGGGGTGTGGGTGGGGGTGTGTGGTGGGGTGGGGGTGGGGAATGTGTGGGGTGTGGGTGGGGTGTCGGTGGGGTGTGGGTGGGGTGTGGTGGGGTGTGGGTGGGGGTGTGTGTGTGTCGGTGGGGTGTGGGTGGGGTGTGGTGTGGGTGGGGTGTGGGTGGGGTGTGGTGTGGTGGGGTGTGGTGTGGGTGGGGTGTAGGTGGGGTGTGGGTGGGGTGTGGTGGGGGTGGGGTGTGGGTGTGGTGTGGGTGGGTGTGGGTGGGGTGGGGGTGTGGTGGGGGTGGGGTGTAGGTGGGGTGTGGGTGGGGGTGTGGTGGGGTGGGGGTGGGGGATGTGTGGGGTGTGGGTGGGGGTGTCGGTGGGGTGTGGGTGTCGTGTGGGTGGGATGTGGGTGGGGTGTGGGTGGGGGTGGGTGAGGTGTGGGTGGGGTGTGCGTGGGGTGGGGTGTTGGTGGGGTGGGGTGTGGGCGGGATGTGGGTGGGGTGTGGGTGGGATGTGGGTGGGGTGTGGGTGGGGAGTGCGTGGGGTGGGGTGTGGGTGGGATGTGGGTCGTGTGTGGGTGGGATGTGGGTGGGATGTGGGTGGGGTGTGGGTGGGGTGTGGGTGGGGTGTGCGTGGGGTGGGGTGTGGGCGGGTAAGGGGAGGGGTGTGAGTGGGGTGTGGGTGGGGGTGTGTTGGTGGGGGTGGGGGTGTGGGTGGGGTGTGAGTGGGTAAGGGGTGGGGGTGTGTTGGTGGGGGTGGGGGTGTGGGTGGGGTGTGAGTGGGGTGTGGGTGGGTGTGGGTGTGGGTGGGTAAGGGGTGGGGGTGTGCTGCGCTGTGCGCGCGAGAGACTCACGGGAACTCCGCGAGGACCTGGCGATCCGCGCTCTCCCTACACGGGGGTCCGGGGGGGAGGGGAGGTGGCATCAGATTCCACATTCTCACCCACCCACGACTCACCCACCCACTACTCACCCACCCACCACTCACCCACCCACTACTCACCCACCCACCCACTACTCACCCACTCACTACTCACCCACCCCCACTCACCCACCCACTACTCACCCACCCACGACTCACCCACCAACTACTCACCCACCCACTACTCACCCACCCACTACTCACCCACCCACTACTCACCCACCAAATACTCACCCACCACCCACTCACCCACCCACCCACTCACCCACCCACCCACTCACCCACCCACCCACTCACCACTCACCCACCCACCCACCTCACTCACTCACCCACCCCACTCCCACCCACTCACCCACCCACTCACTCACCCACCACCCACTCACTCACCCACCCCCCACCCACTCACCCACCACCCACCCACTCACCCACCACCCACCCACTCACTCACCCACCCACCCACCCACTCACCCACCCACTCACTACCACCCACCCACTCACTCACTCACTCACCCACCCACACCCACCACTCACCCACCCACCCACTCACCCACCCACTCCTCACCACCACCCACCCACTCACTCACCCACCCACCCACTCACCCACCCACCCACCCACTCACTCACCCACCCACCCACCCACTCACTCCCACCCACCACTCACCCACACCACCCACCCACCCACTCACCCACCCACCCACCCACTCACCCACCCACCCACCCACTCACTCACCCACCCACCACCCACTCACCCACCCACTCACTCACCCACCCACCCACTCACTCATCACTCACCCACCCACTCACCACCCACTCACTCACCCACCACACCACCCACCACTCACCACCCACCACCCACCACTCACCCACCCACCCACCCACTCACTCACCCACCCACCCACCCACCCACTCACCCACCCACCCCCCACTCACCCACCCACCCCACCCACTCACCCACCCACCCACTCACCATACTGCCGTTCACATCACTTCTCTTTCTCTCTCCCCTCACTGCTGCACTCTGGAACTCCCTCCTCCCTCAGCCATCTCTCTCTCTCCGCCAAAGCCCTTCATTCAACAACATTTACCTCGCTCACTTCGCGTCACATAATTCTGACAGTGCTGTTTGTTGCTGCCCGCTTGGACTTTGTGGTGCATTTGCTCAATAGCTGTGCGAGAGAAAAGAGATCCCACCCGAAGATTGACGGAGACACAAAATGACAGCGCGGACAAGCGCCTCGGTACCTCACCGTGAAATATACAATTTCAAATTGTAACGCATCCCATCCGCCACCCCGTGCGGCCTTCCTCCTGCGAGTGTATTCTGCTCGGCCGCTTTGGTTCAGCGCGAGCGAAACTCCGTGACGGATTCCACGTCTCAGCAGAGCCGGGCCCTGCGTGGTGTTTGTCGGCACGGCCCCTCCCTCTCTCTCTCTCTGTTGGGCGTGGGTCCTCAACTCCACGCGCAGCGGTTTGTTTGTGTCAGGTGGTGGAGGGTAAGACGACACACATTGGGCCAGATCATAACGCGGCCTAACCCAAAACATCAACAATTAATCATATTCATGTATAGGGAGAGTTGACGCGTGGAGATGTCACGTGCAGAGACTCCTCACCTTGAGGCCTTGCATACCTGGAGGCCCAGTGTGACCCTGCACACACATAAAGACAAAGGTCCCCCGTATAGCCTTAACAGACTGTTGGGGCAAGTGTTGTTAGCGAGCGCCTATGAAGGCCGGCACGGCACACGAGGGGGTGGGTGGCCAGCACCACGCCCGGCCGCCTTTGTCTCCCCAGTGGCGATGTTTACACACCGCACCACGTACTCATTTGAGGCTGAGTCGACCTAGGGGAGGCCCAGGACCGCTTCAGATAATCGCCACTGGTGTTGGCCGTGAGCGGGAATCGAACCCGTGTTACAAGGTTCGTAGCGCAGCGCGCTAACCGCTACACTACCGCTCCCCATAACACACACAGACACACAGACACAGACACACACAGCCAGACATACACACACACAGACACACACAGACACACAGACACAGTTCATGCGCTGGACCCGCGCGTCTCTCACCATCGGCCCCCTCCGGCCTCGTTTGACGTGCGACAGGTCGGGATCCTGCCCTGGGGGCCCCATGAGGCCGCGGGGCCCTGGGGGGCCCTCAGCGCCCGGGGGTCCTGTGGGAATGGGGGGGGGGGGGTCGCGGGCTCCACTTGATGTAAAACTGTTCGATCACGGCCACCCTCGTCATCACCATGCTCGTGGTATACCTGCCACCAGCTTCACGCACGAGACGCGGTTTGCCGAACGCGCACGGATCTCTGCACCCCGAGTCGAGTGGAATAGCGCGGAGCGGCAGCAGCAGCAGCAGCAGCGGCAGGAGCTGTCCGCCTGCTCCTGGCTGCCGACTCGCACCACACAGAGGCAGCAGCAGCAGCAGGAGCTGTCGCCTGGCCGACTCGCACCACACAGAAGCAGCAGCAGCAGGAGCTGTCGCCTGCTCCTGGCTGCCGACTGGTGCCACACAGAGGCAGCAGCAGTAGAAGCTGTCGCCTGGCCGACTCGCACCACACAGAATCAGCAGCAGCAGCAGCGGCAGCAGCGGCAGGAGCCACTGGAGGTGGCCGCTCTCAATCCGCCCTGAGACGATGAGACGCGAGACGACCTGGCGACGAGGAGGAGGGCCCCTCTATCGGAGCGCGTGGGATTTGTTTTATTTCGGCTGCTCCGGGTTCGTCCTACTCAGAATAAGTATTCGTGAATTGGCTGAAAACATCTTGAAGTAAAAAAAACAATGCGGGACCGTCCTGAAACATATGCCTATGACGTTCCTGCACACAGAGGTAAAGATGTCACCAGCATGTCGGAGTGGTGCTCTTGTCCTGTTTACAGTCCTGCAAAGCCAGTTGTTGGGCAATCCCGGCTCCTACGGCAGGCGGGGGACGAGTCTTTCCATGGGACAACCAACTGTCGGCTTCCCTAAAAAGTGGTTCTCATTTAATCGACTCCGTAAGGAGGGATGATGATGAGTATGATTCTGAGCGGAGTCAACCTCCACCCCAACCGGGACTCGAGAACTTTCCGATTGCCGCTCGCCCCAGGGGCGAGTCGCCGCCTGTCCGAGCAGACGGCGCGGGGCGGCTGCTGCTGCTACTGCGCTCACAGCCAGAGGTGGGGGCAGCAGCAGCAGCCCCAGGGGCACCGCCGCGGCCCCAGGGGCACCGCCGCGGCCCCAGGGGCACCGCCGCGGCCCCAGGGGCACCGCCGCGGCACGGCCCCCAGCGGCGCCGGTGCGGCCCTGGGGCTGTGTGAGTGTTTGTGTGTCGTAGGTTGCATCAGCCTCGTATGAGTAGCGGGTGCGGTGTGTAAACATCGCTACTGGGAGACAAAGGTGGCCAGGCGTGGTGCTGGCCACCCACTCCCCTTGTGTGCCGCGCCGGCCTTCATAGGTGCTCGCTAACAGCACTTGCTCCGACAGTCTGCTATGGCTCTATGGGGGGATTTGTGTATTTGTCTTATGAGTGAGGTATGAAAGTGAGAGGTTGTGTGGCTTTCATCCAGCAGTGGACTGAACCTGGCTACGATGGGGAGTGGCAGCCAGACGGTGGAACATGTCCGAGAGGACGTCCAAGGAAATGGAGCAATAAAATCATCAGGTGTAGCGACGAGATGACAACGGCTTGGGGAGGCCTTCATCCAGCAGTGGAAAGGCCATGAATGGTGATGCGCATCATAAGTGGAGTGAAAACTCAGCGTCAGCGCGATCGTACCGACTCCTCCCAGTGCCCCTTCCTCGCCGGGGAGACCGGGGGGCCCGAGCGGACCGGGGGGCCCCAAGGGCCCGGGTGGCCCCGGGGGCCCGAGCGGACCGGGCAGACCGGGGGGCCCCAGGGGCCCCAGGGGCCCGGGCGGACCGGGGGGCCCGATCTGTCCCGGGGGCTTCTCGTGCGCCCGCTGTCCGCTCTTCACCGTGATGTCATTTCCTGTGGCGCGCACCTGCAACCACAACCACCACCACCACGACACCTGCCGTGACCACGTGCGTAGACCCTCGACACCTGAGTCGTGCGCCTCGCGTCGCCAGGTGAGAACCCAAGACAGCAGCAGGGGGAGCGTCTCACATCTGCAAGAGCGACGTAACAACATTGCACACCAATGGAGCAAACAGAAATCGGAAACCGGGCTCAGCCAAATGGAGATCAGAGCAGAGGCAATGAAATAGAAAGCGGCACAAAAGCAACCGCGTATCAGAATAAATGTAATCAATAAAAGGACACCCGGGGTTCACGGCGCATGTTTCTGTGGCATGTGATGACGAACAGAGTTCCTTGAAAAGAGACCGACGCGGACACCTGGCCTGGAGTGAGTGGAAGTCGTGGGCCAGATAAGCTCAACAACAACGGTGGGAGGCTGGGGGTGAGTGGTGGTGAGTAGGGGTGAGTGGGGTGAGTGATGGTGAGTGGGGTGAGTGGGGTGAGTGGTGGTGAGTGGGGTGAGTGGTGGTGAGTGGGTTGAGTGATGGTGAGTGAGGGTGAGTGGTGGTGAGTGGGGTGAGTGGGGTGAGTGGTGCTGAGTGGGGTGAGTGGTGGTGAGTGGGGTTAGTGGGGTGAGTGGTGGTGAGTGGTGGTGAGTGGGGTGAGTGGGGTGGGTGGTGGTGAGTGGGGGTGAGTGGTGGTGAGTGGGGGTGAGTGGTGGTGGGTGGAGGTGAGTGGTGGTGAGTGGTGGTGAGCGGTGGCGAGTGGGGTGAGTGGGGTGAGTGGGGGTGAGTGGTGGTGAGTGGGGTGAGTGGGGTGAGTGGTGGTGAGTGGGGTGAGTGGTGGTGAGTGGGGTGAGTGGTGGTGAGTGGTGGTGAGTGGGGTGAGTGGTGGTGAGTGGGGTGAGTGGTGGTGAGTGGGGGTGAGTGGTGGTGAGTCGGGTGAGTGGGGTGAGTGGGGTGAGTGGTGGTGAGTGGTGGTGAGTGGTGGCGAGTGGGGTGAGTGGGGTGAGTGGGGGTGAGTGGTGGTGAGTGGGGGGAGTGGGGTGAGTGGTGGTGAGTGGTGGTGAGTGGGGTGAGTGGTGGTGAGTGGGGTGAGTGGTGGTGAGTGGGGGTGAGTGGTGGTGAGTCTGGTGAGTGGGGTGAGTGGGGTGAGTGGTGGTGAGTGGTGGTGAGTGGTGGCGAGTGGGGTGAGTGGGGTGAGTGGGGGTGAGTGGTGGTGAGTGGGGGGAGTGGGGTGAGTGGGGTGAGTGGTGGTGAGTGGGGTGAGTGGTGGTGAGTGGGGGTGAGTGGTGGTGAGTCTGGTGAGTGGGGTGAGTGGGGTGAGTGGTGGTGAGTGGGGTGAGTGTGGTTAGTTGGGTGAGTGGTGGTGAGTGGGGTGAGTGGGGTGAGTGGGGTGAGTGGGGTGAGTGAGTGGTGGTGAGTGGGGTGAGTGGTGGTGAGTGAGTGGGGTGAGTGGGGTGAGTGATGGTGAGTGGGGTGAGTGGGGTGAGTGGGGTGAGTGGAGTGAGTGGGGTGAGTGGTGGTGAGTGGGGTGAGTGGTGGTGAGTGAGTGGGGTGAGTGAGGACGAAACGAGCCTCACGTGCTGGGAGTCGTCGTCGTCGCACGACAGCGGACACGCGGCCACGGCCAACAGACCCCCACGCGCCCCACCTACACACACACAGACACACACACACAGAGACACACACACAGAAACACACACACAGAGACACACACAGAGACACACACACAGAGACACACACACACAGAGACACACACACAGACACACACACACAGAGACACACACACAGAGACACACACACAGAGACACACACACAGAGACACACACACAGAGACACACACACACACAGAGACACACACAGAGACACACACAGAGACACACACACACACAGAAACACACACACAGAGACACACACACACAGAGACACACACAGACACACACACACAGAGACACACACAGAGACACACACAGAGACACACACACACAGAGACACACACACAGAGACACACACACACACACAGAGACACACACAGACACACACACACAGAGACACACACACACAGACACACACACAGAGACACACACACAGAGACACACACACACAGAGACACACACACACACAGAGACACACACAGAGACACACACACACACAGAAACACACACAGAGACACACACACACAGAGACACACACAGACACACACACACAGAGAGAGACACACACACACAGACACACACACAGAGACACACACACAGAGACACACACACAGAGACACACACAGAGACACACACACAGAGACACACACACAGACACACACACAGAGACACACACACACAGAGACACACACACAGACACACACACAGAGACACACACACAGAGAGACACACACACAGAGACACACACACAGAGACACACACACACACAGAGACACACACAGAGACACACACAGAGACACACACACAGAGACACACACACAGAGAGACACACACAGAGACACACACAGAGACACACACACACACACAGACACACACACAGAGACACACACACACGGAGACACACACACAGAGACACACACGGCGACACAGAGACACAGACACGCATAGACACACACACAGAGACACACGGCGACACAGAGACACACACGGGCACACACGGTGACGGAATTGCATTGATTGGAGCACAAATCGAAAACGTCGAGCGATTTTAATTGAACCGTGGTCAGTCTTCTGTGTCCGTCACTCCCAACCTTTCCGATGTCGCTATGTCTGTTATTATATCTTCCGAACTGAAAACTACGTGTAGCCAGTTACCCAGCTACATTCTCAGCAGCCACGAACAACAGCCAGGACACGCAAGGCATTGATTGTTTTGTGATACTGATATAGGTTGTAGAAATATATACCGTATATCTTCGTTGTTTATCCATTCTTCAACAATAAAAGCATGTGTGCGATACTACTTTATTTCGACCTGGCGTCTGTTAAGCGAAGACACGGAAATTAAGCGTCAAAAAAATCTTTCCCTCTTTCTGCATCTCCCCCCCCCCCATTCTCCCCTCTCCCCCCTCCCCTTGTTTCTCCTTTTTTAATTAAAATGTTTAAAACTTGGCTTTATGTAACCCCCCCCCCCCCCTCTAGCTCACTCTCTCGCTCACTCTCTCTCTCGCTCTCTCTCGTTCTGCACGCAGCCCCCCTCGCTCTTCCCCTCTTCTCATCTCTCCCCTTATCTCCCCCCCCCTCTCCCCCCCTCTCTCCCCCTCTTCCCCTTGTCTCTCCTCTCCCCCTCTTCTCATCTCTCCCTCTCTCTTCCCTTATCTCTCCCCTTCTCCCCCTCTTCCCCCCTCTCTCCCCCTCATCTCTCCCTTATCTCCCCCCCCCCGCCGCCCCTCTCTCCACCGCTCACCCCGAGGGGGGGGCGGGGGCACCCTCCGGCACGAGTGTTTGTCCCCGGCGAGTCGCCAGCCCTCTGGGCACGTGCACTCGTAGCTGCCGGGCGAGTTGCGGCAGCCGTGAGAGCAGCGCGAGGTGCCGTCACCCTGGCGCGCGCACTCGTCCACGTCTACGGGGACACACAGAGAGACAGCGAACAAGATCACGCACACACCCCCTGCCTGCTGCGGAGTGGACACGGTGCGGTGTGTACACGGTGTTCACACGCCGTGTGCCGTCGTGGCCTTCAAAAGGTGCCAACGCTGAGAGCACTTGTCCCGAATAGACTGTTGAGGCTACACGGGGGATCTTTGTCTGTGTGCGTGTGCATCCACCCATTGTGTGTAGGGAGCGGTAGTGTAGTGGTTAGCACTACGCTAACCACTACGGCCAACACCGGTGACGATTATCTGAACCGGTCCTGGGCCTCCCCTCGGTACACTCAGCCTAAAATGAGTACTTGACACGGCGTGTATACATCGGCACTGGGGGGGGGGAGACGAATGGGTTTGGAGAGAGGTCCCGATGGACCCCGACAGAAGCGACTAAGCTCTCACTGTCATTGGGGAGCCGTGCTTCGTGCGGCCAGTTGCTCAAGTGGCCCCGGGGAGCGGCAACGTCGCGGTCAGCGCGTTGCGCCGTAAACTCGGAAACCCGAGTCCGGTTCCCGCTCACGGCCAACACCAGTGACAATGATCTTAACCGGTCCGGGATTCCCTGAGGTCGACTAAGTCTCAAATGAATAGCTGGTGCGGTGTGTAATCATCGCTGCTAGGGAGACAAAGGCGGCCTGGTGTGGTGGTGGACAACCACCCCCTGGTGTGCCGTTCCGGCCTTCGTAGGTGCTCGCTACCAGCACTTGCTCCTACAGTCTGTTCAGGCTACACGGGGGATCTTTGTCTTTGTCTCGCACCCACCCACCCACCCAGGCAGTAGGGGCGGTCGCGCGCGCGGCGGCGCTCGAGGCGGTACCCCGCGTGGCACGCGCAGAGCTCGCGCCCAAAGTGGTCGGTGCAGAGCTGCTCGCAGGGCGAGCCCGCACACACGTCCACATCTACACGGGGGGGGGGGGGTGGTAGAGGGGGAGAGGTAGAGTGGGGTGGGAGAGGGGGTGGGAAAGGGGGGGGGGGAGTAGGGGGGAGAGGGGGGAGACTTATTTACAGCTTGAACATCCATGTTTACCGTTGACAGTAACACAAATCACTTTCACTGGACGTTGTGAACATCTAAACTATTCGACGTGTAGATTTTTTGTTTTTACAAAACATATGACAGACAACATGCGAGTGGTGAGGGGGGGGCATGGAGTGGTAACGAGTGAGAGGGTCGCAGGGAGAGGAGAGGGGCAGAGTAGGGAGGTGGAAGAGCATCAATATGTTGGATCCACTCCATCTCGTCAACGAGCAAGACATCTGCTCCGTGTGACATCTGGTCCATGAGATTTCCAATTTGTGAGCTCTATGGACCTTGAACAAGATATCTGGCATGTGAGAGATCTTGTGATTTGTGCAAGATTCCTACTCCATGAGAAGTCCATACCCGTCAACCCACACGGGTTCACCCCGTGTTCTTGCACACGGGGCAAATTGAGATTTCAGGTCCATCCGGCGTACGGACTCTTTAACACGGGCAACATTAGTTTTTTATTTGTTTGTGTTTCTCCCTTGTGATGGGACTTTGTAGGATGAACGTTGAGATTCACAAGGGGCACGGGGTGACTGAATTGGTCTGTAATAAGGTAGGGCACTGATAAGGGGTTGACAGGTATGGAAATCTGCTCCATGAGAAATCTGCTTCATCTTCCTGGACCAGATGCCTCGCTTGTTGGTGCCACGTGGGATGGCGACACTACAGGGAAGTAGATTCGTGACCTCTCCCTCTGGGAGAGTCTCTGCCTCTCTCTCTCTCGTACCTGAACTCTCAATCGGAGTATCTGCTGGCCTTTTGACATGTTGGGCCTCTGAGCCTGTGTTAAATAAATACAATGTATACACGGGTAACAGAGCGGTGGCGCAGCGGTTAGTGCACTGCCATTTGAACCTGGCATCCGAGTTCGATTTCTGGCCACGATCACCTCAGTGTTGGGTTCCGTTGCGATGCATCTCTCGAGTTGGCAGAGTGGTGTGAAGCAGAGGCAACACAAAGGGGTAGAGGCAACACAAAGGGGTGGAGGCAACACAAAGGGGTGGAGGCAACACAAAGGGGTGGAGGCAACACAAAGGGGTGGAGGCAACACAAGGGGGTGGAGGCAACACAAAGGGGTGGAGGCAACACAAAGGGGTGGAGGCAACACAAGGGGGTGGAGGCAACACAAAGGGGTGGAGGCAACACAAGGGGGTGGAGGCAACACAAAGGGGTGGAGGCAACACAAAGGGGTGGAGGCAACACAAAGGGGTGGAGGCAACACAACGGACACGCAGGGAAATGCGACTCATATCTGTGTCACTACCCATGGTTTTCCTCCACGTAAAAAAGCAGAACGTTTGTTTAAACCCATCAGCCACACATCCTCCCTGGGAGTCGAGGTGAACTCTGGGCCAGATGAAGGCGTTCTCACCTTCAGGTAGACACTGTCCCAGCACAAAGCGGTACCCTTTGCAGCATCGCTTCCTAGCCAGACACAGGCACAGAGACAAAGATCCCCCGTGTAACCTACGCAGGCTGTTGGGGCAAGTGCTGTTAGCGCCCACCTATGAAGGCCGGAACGGCACACGGGGGATGGGTGTCCAGCACTATACTGTGTTATACCATAGTGTGTTATACTGTAGTGTGTTATACTAGAGTGTAGTGTGGCTATCGTGTTATACTGTACTGTAGTGTGTTATACTGTTGTGTGTTATACTATACTGTGGTGTGGTTTTCGTGTTATGCCACAGCGCGTGGCGCGTCTCGCGTGGCGCGTGCGCCCGACAGAAGCCGCCGTGTTTCGGCAACCCCCGGCAGGGGCGTGAGACCGGGGTGGGTCCCACGGGGGTCCTTGTGAAACGGGGGTCCCCACACAGGACCCCCTCTGTGTGCGTCGCTATCCCCCTTGGCGCGGGCCCCAGGCACAGAGTACCCCTTGAGTGGGGGTTCCCCCCTCCCCCCTCCCCCCTCCCCCCGCCTTCGCCAGGGCCGTGCCACATTTGGGACCCTGCCGCGTGGAGCGAGAGGCCGCGAGCCGGGGAGCGGGGGATGGGGGGAGAGGGGGTTCCTATCATGGAGCTAAAGGCGCAGCGCCTGCAAGTACCTACTCACGCCACTGCCTTTTGGAAGGCTCCGCGACATTGTAGAGCGAACGCTGTCGTCGGTATTTGGCCTACTCTTCCACGTTCATCGGGGGTGTTCGTAAGAGGTGGACAGTACGGGTGTGACAACACAGGAGACGAACTGTGGTGTGAACGTTGATGCTGCGGGGTTAGGGGGTCAGGGGTCAGCCCGGAGCTATGAACCTCGGCCAAACCACTGGGATCAAAGTCAGAGAATCAAATCTCAGGGAGGGAGAGGGGGGGGGGGCGCGATACGGGGTGGGGGGCCGAGGCGATAGGGGTCTGGGGTCGCCCCTCACCTGATGCACGTAGTCCGCTCCCCGTTGGCGCGCACACACGGATACTCCACCGACAGCACCTTGCTCTCCGGGCACACCTCGCTGTGAGTGCACAGGTGAGTCCACAGGTGAGCTCATAGGTGAGCACACAGGCGAGCTCATAGGTGAGTCTGTGGGTGAGTGCACAGGTGAGCTCATAGATGAGTCTGTGGGTGAGTGCACAGGTGAGCTCATAGGTGAGTCGGTGGGTGAGTGCACAAGTGAGAACAGGCGAGCGCACAGATACACGTGCTCGCATGTGAGCTGGTACGCGCTGAGCTTGAGTGAAAAGGTCAGTGCAAGGATGAGTGCGCAGGTGAGTACACAGTTACATAGACAGGTACACTCACAGGTTTAAAGACACAGGTCTCCATGACCGGGACGGCGCACACGATCGATGGTGTGGCCAGAACCACGCCCGGCCGCCTTTGGAGGTCATGGTCGTAAAGGGCAAAGAGGTCACCCCCCCTCCCCTCCCACCCGTTACCCCCCTCCCCCACAACCCCCAGCCCCGCCAGCCCAGAGCGGAGACACGCAGCTCGCACTCGGCTCGTGGCTCGCAGAGCCACCACGCGGCACGTGCGGCTCACCTGTCGGAGGGCACCGCGTAGGAGTAGGGGGAGGAGGAGGAGGGCATCGCCGGGGCCAGCAGCAGTAGCAGCAGCAGCAGCAGGGGCAGCCGCAGCAGCAGCGGGGGCAGCAGGAGCCGCGAAGGCAGGGTGCTCTCCCCGCACATCCCGGCGCGCAGATGGAAACTCCGCACAGTGCTCAGCTCCATCCCAGCATCACTCCCTTCACTCACCGCCCCCTCCCCGCCCCCACTCGCCAACCACCCCAACCCCTCCCCCCGGTGTCAAGTCTGCGATGAGTGGAGCCGGCGCGCGCACATTCATCACAGGGCCCCACCGCCCCCCCCCCCCCGCCGCGTGCGTGGCATTGAGGATCCCTTCACCTCCTCCCCTCGCTCCCCCCCCATCGAGGGGAGTGCTGAACTGAGCCGTCCATGGCGCACACGATCTCCAATGCCACTCAGCCATTCACCCACCTACTCACGGACCCACTCCCCAATTCACTCACCCACTGACTTACCAACCCACTCACCGGTGCCACTCAGATCGCGTAAATGTAATTGTGTTGTCGTAAACTTACCTCTAACCGACACAGCCAATTAGTAAGGTTGTCACGTGAACAAAACGTGCCAATTCGTGACTTCGGTTCCTTTAGCGCACTGGTGTATTAGAGAGCAAACCCGCAACAGTTACCATTGATTTCAAATTATAAAAGCTGTGGGTTTATTCTCTAACACGCATTTATGTGACCTAACCCAAAACACTTTATACTCACCAGGTCAAACTTGCTTTACTATATTTTATTCTATCAGGTAAGGCCCACTGAGCTATCAATCTATTTTTCAGAAACGACCTGGCCTCAAATGATAGCTCAACGAAGTGGCTTATCATGTGTAAATGTAAAGCAGCCAAATACTCTAAACGCGTGATGTTGTTTCTAAATGTGGAAGGGAAAACCGGAGGACTCGGAGCAAAATCCACGTGACCACGGGGAGAACACGCAAACTCCAACTTTACAACAGGTGTCGGGGTCGGGATAGAACCCGAGACCTCCTGTATACAAGGCGAGATAATTAACATCTCGCCACCGTATAGCCCTAATCCATTCCACTCGGCCACTTACTCACTCACACTAATCTACTGACTAATTCCACTTACCCACTCACTCACCAAAGCCACGCATACACTAACCCACTCACCAATTCCATAAGCCATTCACTAACCCACTCACCAATTCAGCAATACATACACTCACCAAGAAGCTCACCGACTCACAAACCCATTCACTCATCCACTAACACACTCAGTCACCTACTTACTAACGGTCACCCACTTAATAACAGTCACTCAATTCCACATAGCAACGCACTCAATCCATTCACCAACCCACTCATTCACCAAACAAGTAAAATAAACTCACTCGCTCATTAACCAATCCACGTATTTAACAAGTCACGCATCTACATTCACTTTTAAAACTATCGTTCGCCCATCCATTCACTCACGCGACCGTCTGAAAAAGGAGTCCACACGAGGCGATCGTGCCCCTGTGGCTCAACCATTTGCGGTTGACGGCGACATTCGTGTACGCATCGCGACTGAACTACTCGCGATGATGCTGCTGCTGCTGCCGCTGCTGCCACGGAAGGTCACGTGCACCGCCACCACCTGGCAGCATCGCGGGTCCCAGGTCACGTGCACCGCCACCACCTGGCAGCATCGCGGGTCCCAGGTCACGTGGAGGCTGGGAGGTTCAGCCGCATTTGACATGTTTTGCACACAACATACGTTGTTTTTATTCCATACATTTACCGTGCAAGTTCGAAACATCTCTTGGGGGATGGGTTAGTTGGTGCCTTGTGCGTGACTGGGTAACTCCTCTGCTAACTTTCAGCTGTTTTTAGGATAACTTCCACATTAATTAAAATAAATACCTGTCGGATACCAAACCTGCTGTGTCCGCTCCAATGAACTATTGAGTCTCACCACCTCATAACAGACCCCAGAGGAGCTTTGTCCACGCTCTTGGTTGCACGTTTAGGGGCCATGATTAAGGGCATAATACATGCAAATAAACTAATAATAAAGGTCAAGAAAGGCGGAAATAATGCGTAGCAATGCGACAACGTCCACACGCATTACACCAGTCACTATGCGAGAGAGAGTGGTGGGAAGAGAGGGATGGTGGGGAGCTGGGAGATGAGGCGACGCACGGAGGGACACCGATGCGGGGCGATTTGAAACCGCGGATACACAAAACCTCGTGCCGCAATGAGAAACTTGGTGTGCCGAAAGGAAAACCAGGGATACGTAAATACCGAGGATGTGAAAAAACGTGGTGGGTGAGGGATCGCTGTCCCCGTGAACCTGGGTGGTACAAACATTCAGAGGTAACGATAATCGTTTGCGCCGACCTGCTCCTGAAAAACTACGTAAGGAACCCGAGCCGATCATCCCGACTGCTTGGTTCACGAACCGGGCTCCGCTTGCTCCCCAGTGGCCGTGGGCACGTGGCCACGTGTCTTCTCGCGCGTGGCCACGTGTCTTCTCACGCGTGGTCACGTGTGTGGTCACGTGGCTTCTCACGCGTGATCACGTGTGTGGTCACGTGTGTTCGCGCGCTGCGCTGGTGCGTCACGTGACAAGGCGACATTCCGCCACAGAGCGCAAGACGCAAGCACACGGACACAAAGACACTCGGCCACAGGATTCGGCGCATAGCACAGCACAGCACTTTATTGGACACAGCCATCGGGAGCTGTAGAATGAACATAGCGAGCGAGAGCTGCAGACCGCAGACGGCCGGCAGAAGGGTGGGGGGGGGGGATGCGCGGATCGCTCCTTGTGAAGCTCCTCGCTGCTAGCGTGGGGAAGTGGGATGATGTGCCAAGCCGGCCATAGCGGACTCCTCCTCTTCCTCCTCCTCCTCGTCCTCCTCCTCTTCATGAACCTCACGGCAGCACTCAGCCAATGGACTCTGAAAATCAAACAATGTGCCAGCGTGACGGATAGTGCTACACATAAGCTGTGTCCTGGGCATGTTATGCATACAAATGATGTAAGAATGATGCATTACATTTAAATTTGAAAATGTGCATCTTGCCCCACCCCAGATGACCCCCATGTGAACTCTGTTAAGGTCGCTCATTCCTCGGCCTGTGCACTGCCCTTGCCATCTCACAGAGCGCCTTTAACTAAGGCGCTCATGTCTCTCTCTCTCTCGACATGAACATACAATAAGATGAGGTAGAGACCATAACAGGTGCACCCACAAGACGGCAGTGAATCTCGCCAAGGTGTCCCCGTGTCCACGGGGCAGATCGATGGGGTGTGTGGGAGGGAGGGAGGGGGGGGTCATCTTTGTCAGTCGACCCGCGGCACCTGGGTCTGCCCCGTGACCTCCTGCCAGCGGGCGTTCGACACGTCACGTGGCCTTAACGTGCACATAGCCTTGCACAGGCGTCGTGGTGACGTCACCGCTCCTTCGTGGTGAGAATGGCGGCTGCTGTTGTTGTTATTTTGGGGGGTGGGGGGGGGGGTCCGACCTCACCTGGCGCGGGATCCACACAGTCCACGCCACACATTGCGAGGCAGCACTTCTGCTTGCCGGGGCAGCCGGCGTCGCCCGTGCAGTCCTCTCTCGGTCCGGAGCAGCCGATTGTCAAGAAGGTGTCCCGCCGGATCGGGCACCGCCCGGCCTTCACCACTGCGGCGAGCACGCGGGGGGTGGGGGGGGGGTGATGGGAGGGCTCACAGCTGAGACGGGACATGAATCCATTGCTGGTCCCTAAGCTCGGAGCGCCAGGAGGGGTTCGATCTCGCGTTGTGCCGAGAACAAAAGTTTCGGTGGCAAGGCAAGGACCGAGCTCTGATAAATCAGGGTCGGGGGGGGGACAACACCCTACTTAGACGGGGGGGGGGGGCTATGCAAGACACGACTGCGCCCCCCACCTCATTTCTCTCGACTCACTTTTACTAACATAGCTACGGGTGTTTTAAACCCCGTATACAATTACATGTCAGGCTCTCACTTTACCGCATTTTATTTGCACCTTGCATTGGGTTCAGAAGAAGACGGTCTCAGAGTGACAGTATTGATACAGATATTTAGAAGGTAATAATATTCACTATTAAGCATATCGTGGGTCTTGCTTGCATGCCGGCCCATCGGTCTATGACAGCCAGGATGCGTTAATCAGGCTTGGCCCATGGTAGACCGCAGGTAATTATTTTTTATGAACATTTAAAAAAATAATTCTTAACATGTTTTAAATTTGTTTATCTGTTGATTCGTGCCCTGCGTGCCCCTGGGGGAGATGGGGGGGTGTCACCTGGCTCCGCAACCACGCAGCCAACTCCACCCCCACCCCGATGCGGGGGGCTGGGGGTGATGGAGGGGTGGGGGTTGTGATGGAGTGGGGGGTGTGGGTGGGGGTTGTGATGGAGTGGGGGGGGGGGGTGATGGAGAGAGATGGGTGGTGGTGGCGTTTGGGGGCTTGTGGTGATGGAGAAGGTTGGGTGGGAGTGGTGATGGAGTGGGGGGGATGGAGGGGGTAGGTGGTGATGAAGTGGGGGGGGGGGGTGATGGAGGGGGTGGGTGGGGGTGGTGATGGTGATGGAGTGGGGGGTGGTGATGGAGTGGGGGGGGGTGGAGGGGGTGGGTGAGGGTGGTGATGGAGTGGGGGGGGGTGATGCAGGGGGCTGGGTGGGGGTGGTGATGGAGTTGGGGGGGGGTGATGGAGGGGGTGGGTGGGACAGTCCCAATCTCACCTGGCTCCGGCTCCACGCAGCCCACCCCACACGTGACGCTGCAGCACATCTGGTTGCCGGGGCAGGAGGCGTCGCCGCTGCAGCCGTTTTCGTAGCGGAAGCAGTTGATGCCCGAGTAGTCGTGGACGGGGCACATCCCGATCTTCACCACTTTAGCTGCAGCAGCAGCAGCACACGGGGGCCAGAGAGGGGGAGATGAGAAGCTTCGGGGCCACGCGTTTGTGGAGATCGCGCACGCAGCCAGCGTGGCAGCAAGGAGCGCTTGCCTAGACACATTTGGGAAATGGCCTCGAAGGATTGGCTCTACAGTACTATATTTATTATTTAAGGAAGCGTTATCGATTAATGTGTTGCAGTTTCGTTCTCTGCGCTTGTTCACCCAACGCAGCAGCATCACCAAGTACTGTGCATGACCTAATGATGGATTGACTCTTCATTAACTGAATCTCCAACCAACAACTTTAAATTGGAAAACCTCAAGTCCCATCTCAGGTCAACGTTAAAATGGCACTCACGGTCCTACCTACCTCTCCCCTCTCATCTCACTCTACTCCCCTCCACGCACTCTCCTACCTCTCCCTTCTCATCTCACTCTACTCCCCTCCATGCACTCTCCTACCTCTCCCCTCTCGTCTCACTCTACTCCCCTCCACGCTCTCTCCTACCTCTCCCTTCTCATCTCACTCTACTCCCCTCCACGCACTCTCCTACCTCTCCCCTCTCATCTCACTCCCCTCCACGCACTCTCCTACCTCTCCCCTCTCATCTCGCTCTACTCCCCTCCACGCACTCCCTGCTCCCGGCTTTACCGGGCGTGGTGCAGGCCATCGTGCAGCCCGTGTTGCAGCACTTCTGCTCGCTGGGGCACTGCGAGTCCGCGCTGCACTCGCCGCGGTCACGCCGGGACTCGCAGAGGATGGGCTCGGAACTCACGAATGGACACTGGCCGGGTTTGGGGGTCCCTGAGAAACAGCACCACGGAGACAGCGCCACGTCAACAGCGTCACCCACGCATCTGCAGCGTCACCCACGCAGCAGCAGCAGCTGCTCTCACACAACAAGGCGACTGGTGAGCGTGCTCGGCGTGATGAGGCGGCGAGCGACTGGTGAGCGTGCCTGGCACAGCACTCTCTCTACACACCACCAATACCCGAGGCTGGTCTCAAGCACTGCCGGCCACAGCCGTTGCTGCAGCATTTCTGGTTGTCGGGGCAGCTGTCGTCGTTGAGACAGCGAATGTCGCACGTCGGCTTTAAGCCAACGGGCATCGCTGGGCAGGAGCCGGGCTTCACGATCGCTGCAGCGGGGGAAGGAAATCGAGCCACGTGCATCATCAACCCGTTACGTTCGACAAACACAACGCGACGTTGGGCTTACGGAGCGTCTCAACAGACTTTTTATTTGACCAGGTAAGGCCCACTGAGCTATACAGCTATTTTACAGAAGTGACCTGGTCACAAATGATAGCTCAACGAAGTGGCTTATCAAGTGCAAAATTATAGCTGCCAAATACTAAACAGGCATGTTGATTCTAAATGAGGGAAAAACCGGAGGACCCGGAGAAAAATCCAGGCGTCAGTGTCAGGATTGAACCCACGACCTCCTGTGAACCAGGTGAGGTAGTCAACATCTGGCCACCGTGGCACCCCATGCAACCCGCAACTCACTTCAGCACAGCCCCATGCCCCAGTGTCCCCATACCCTGCGTGTGCGTGCAATGTTCCTGCTGCAACTCTTGTGCCCTTGCCCAGGGCGGTGCGGGTCAAATCACGCCGTGTGGACCTCCCGATGCCTTCAAGCGAAACCTGAAGTATTACATCTGACGCCGTGACGTCCAAGCGCGGGGGCCCCCCAAAGCGCGGGGCCCGGGGCGGTCACCCCGATTTGCCGTAACTCCTAGGTACTGGCTCTGCGTTGACCCCCGTACCCCCGTGTCCTTGTGCCTCCCTGTCCCCGTGTCTCCTTGTCCCCTGTGCTCTTGTCCCGGCGTTCCAGCGCTCCGTGTTCCCACATCCCCGTGTCCTCCGTGACACCCACGCTGAGCCTTGGGGAACTTCCCCAAGGCTCAGCGAGGCACACGAAGGCAAGCCGGGCAGTAGCGGAGCTCGCGCAGAACCACAACGGCGACGGCGAAACATTCATCCCGCCGGCTACTCGATAAGGGATGGCACGCGGCACGGCGATTACCATCAGCCTCATCCACGCTCGCAGGCCGGTCCCGAGTCGCGCCGCACAGGGGCAGCTGCCACTCGGGGGGTGCCCTTCGGATTGCTTGGGAGACGAGGACGTCACCCAAGCGGCTTTGTAAGTTTGCTGGCGCACTGAAGCAACCACCGTGCATAAAGGCAAAGCATACATAATGACGATAACGATGATCATATTGGCATAATAACCATAGTAAGGCAATTTGTACCCAGCGCGCCAGTTCACACGGACGTGATGACGGCGACTCCAGGAGCGGAGTCAAGATGAGCGTCGTTCCAAAACCGGGCGAGGGAGGGGCGGGGCCTCTGGGGGAGGGGCGGGGCCTGTGGGGGAGGGGCGGGGTCTCTGGGGGGCGGGGCCTCTGGGGGAGGGGCGGGGCCTGAGAAGTCGGCGCGGACTGAACGCTGCCGCTTGCTGCTTGTGCACGTTCAGCAGCAGCAGTGTTCCACACGGCAGAGGGGGCTGCCACGGAGACACGAGGAGGAGGAATATGAATCGAGCTGCTGCTGCTGCTGTTGCTGCGAGGGCTATGCATGACGACGACGACGATGGTGGTGGTGGTGATGGTGGTGATGGTGGTGGCGAGGATGCCGTGACCTCCACTTGGCTGTACCGGGCTTGCTGCAGGCCGTCACGCAGCCCGTGTTGCAGCACTTCTGCTCCCCGGGGCACTGCCAGTCCGCGCTGCACAGCGGTGGGCGGTATGCACAGCGGATGAGCCTCGTGTCCACGAATGGGCACTCGCCGGGCTTGGGCTTCACTGAAAAAGAGAATGTCACGGGAGTGACAGACGACGATCCCCGTGCAGCCGTCACAGACTGTTGGGGCAAGTGCTGTTAGCGAGTGGCGCCAGTGAGGGGGGGGGGGGGGGGGCAGCACCACGCCCGGCCGCCTTTGTCTCCTTAGTTGCGATGATTACACACCGCACCAGGTACTCGGTTGCGGCAGAGTCGATCTAGGGGAGGAGGCCCAAACAATCGTCACTGGTGTTGGCCGTGAGCGGGACTCGAAATCGGGTCTGTGATGCGCCGTGCAGCTGTCCGCCGCTTGACAACGCACTTCCACCAACGAGTCCCGTAACCTCCGTGTCTCTCCGTGTCTCTCCGTGTCTCCCCGTGTCCCCATGCCCCGTGTCCCCAATCAGAGTCCCTCTGCGTCCCTCCCACCTGGCTTCACGTTTTCACAGCGATTCCCACACGAGTGCGGGCAGCACTTCTGGACGCCGGGGCATTCGCCGTCACCGCGGCAGAGGTCGTTCCTCCATTTGCAGCGTGGGATGGGGAAGGGGTCTGGGTCCTGACAACACCCGGGCCTCACCTCTGGCCTCACTTTGCCTGCACGCAGGCAAGGGCGGGGGGCGCAAGGGTCACAGGGGGTGGGGAGGGATCACGTCGGGGAGGTGGGCACAGAGGTCACGGAGGGGGAGCACAGAGGTCACGGAGGGGGAGCACAGAGGTCACGGAGGGGGAGCACAGAGGTCACGGAGGGGGGCCTTCCGTCTGGGGAGGGGGAGTTCCACCATTCCAGCTCCCCGGCTGGAACCGCGCTCGGCTGGCACGGGGTTCGCCTGCGTCACCTCCAGCGTCAACCGCACGCCGCGGCGCTGGGCACGAGACGCGACCCTTGACCCCGCGAGCGAGGGTCGCCCTCCACGGGCTGGGAGCTCGCTCCCCGCCACGCATCCCTGCGGTCTCCCCCCCCCCACCGCCTACACCGACGAGGGCGACTTCTGTACATCCGCAGGGTGCCGTTACGAAGTCTACCGACCTCGGAGCGTCCCGTCGCTCAGGCTCGCCTCTCCCAGCTCCACTTGGGTCGGCTTGAGAACCGGCAACTTCACGCCGCTCGCCCCGAGGACCTGCGGCTGCACGCAGCCGTGGCCACAGCCGTTGCTGCAGCACTTCTGCTCGCCGGGGCAGCTCTCGTCGTCCGCGCACGCCTCGTCGCACGTCCCCATGGCGCCAGGGGGCGGCGTAGGGCAGGAGCCGGGCTTCACGGCCACTATTTGGGGAAACAAAGAATAGAAACACGGACACCGTCACCCTGGTCAGGGCACCGTCACCCTGGTCAGGGCACCGTCACCCTGGTCAGGGCACACGAGCAGGCACGCGACTAGCAGGCAGAGACGCAGCGAGGGTGGCCCCAGCCGGACAGAGGGCGCTGAGCACCGCAGCGTTGTGCGGTGCGAGGGCTGCGCCCGAGGCGGAGCCGGGGCTGCCTTGGCGGAGTGATGCTCGGCCGAAAAAGAAAAAGATCCCCCATGTAGCCTTCACAGACCATTGGGACAAGTGCTGCTGGACAGGCGCCCTCCCTTCTCGATGCTCGTGACACGTCGAGCCCTCCCATCGGACACGTGCACCGGCTTGACTGATTCAGGCTGGCCTGCCTACAATTCACCCGGGGTGTAAACGGGCTGGATTGTGCGAGGAGCCCGCGGATTCTGGAAAGAATTGGACACAGTCCCATCGGTGAGGTTCTCCGGCAGGCAAGGCTGCGTTGGCTGGGTCATGTAGCCCGCATGCCCAGCCACCGCATGCCCAAGCAGCTTCTGTTTGGCCGCATAGAGGGAGGGCGTGGAGTTGAGCGGACTTGCTTAAGATCGGCACCAGCAGTTGTGACACACACACGTGGAGTGATTGTCCCACACTGAGACAGAGAAATAAAGGGGGAGGGGGGGGGCAACACTCCACACTCTGACTGCTCCGGGCACCAAGGGGACTGGCCAGGTCATTCAAGAGAAAAAAGAGCTCGAGGGTTGGGTGAGCGTCAGGTGGGAGCGGTTCGGCCAGGTGAGAGAAGACTGCGGGAGAGAGCGAGGTGTGGGCCGTACAATAAAGACCTGACCTTGGTGACAAAGAAAGTGGCTAGCCATCTTTCACACCGACATTGTAGCTTCGGTCAACAGATTCTGCTGCAACTGGGTTGGACCTCAGTGCTGCAGCTGCTTGGAGCCTGGGGCCTGCAGCCCTGAGGGCTCCCGCGCTCGTTCCGCCGATGCATCTGCCTCGAGAGTGATTCCTCAATTTCATTCCAGTTTCATGTCTGTCGTGAGAGCCCTCTGATTCCACCCGCTCGTGAGAGGCGCTGCACGAAGGTAGCGGGCGAGTGTTGTCAATGCGATGCATCCAGCTCTGTTCTAACGCGACTCTCTCTCTCTCTCTACTACATCAAAAGGTAGGACACAACTCTCCCCAACGTCAACACATCCGATTATCACGGCTGGCTACGTACCGAGCGAAGTTAGACTTCCAACAGAACAGCAGCAGTGGCACTCACCTGCTGACGTTGAGTGCAGCAGCAGCAGCATCGCGATCATCGTCATCATCGTCATCGGCAGTGCAAGTCGGGACGAAGCAGAGACCCGAGCCATCATCGTCGTCGTCGTGGTGGCGTCTGAGGCTGCTGCTGGTTCCTGCAGATTTATAAAGCTGCTCCATCCCCTCCTCCATCCCTCCCCCCGCCCACCTCTCCCCCCTCCTCCACCTCCTCCATCCCCCCCCCCTCTCCCACCTCCCCTCCCTCCACCCGGCCACTCACCCGCTCACCGCAATAGTGGAGCACAGGACAAAGATCCCCCATATAGCCTTAACAGGCTTTTGGGACAAGTGTTGCGAACGAGTAGCACTGGTGAAGGCCAGAACGGCACACGATGTCATGTTTACACACCGCACGAGGTACACATTTGAAGCTGAGTCGACCTAGGGGGAGGCCTAGGACAGGTTCAGATAATCGTCACCGGTGTTGGTGGACGCGAGCGGGAATCGAACCCGGGTGGCCTGGTTGGTACTGGCAGTCACACACAAGACAAGCCAAAGATCCCCCATATAGCCATAACAGACTGTTGGGGCAAGTGCTGTTAGCGAGTAGCACCTATGAAGGCCAGAACTGCACACCAGGGGGGTGGGTGGCCACCACCAAGCCCGGCCGCCTTTGTCTCCCTTGTGGCGATGTTTACATACCGCACCATGTACTCATTTGAGGCTGAGTCTACCTAGTGGAGGAGGCCCAGAACCGGTTCAGATAATTGAAACGAACCCGGGTGTCCGGGTTCGTGGCGCAGTAGTCACAGGGCCGCACGCCAACACCTCTCATCGCCCGCTTGGCCGACGGCGGCGGTCGCCACGCGGGGCGTGTGGTGGCGCGACCCGCGGCAGGGCGGGGGTCGCCCTTGCTGTGGCGGGGGGGGGGGCTCCCGGGGGGGGGGGGGGGGCTGGAGAGAGCGGCTCTTTTTACACTCCGCAACAGGTACTAAGTTTTGAGGCTGAGTCAAACTCGGTGAGGCCCAGGACCAATTCAAAAAATCGTCATTGTTGTTGGTGGCCACAGTCGCACACTGCCGGAGAGGTTTTTACAAAAGAATCCCCATTGCACGGCTGAGCCGAGCTCGTGGCTCGTGGCTCGGAAGAGCGGCCCGCGACACTCCACGTGAGAGCTGGGAGAGAGACGGCGAGAGGGAGGGGGGAGCTCGGGGGGGAGCAGGGGGGGAGAGGGGGAGCTGGGGGGGGGGGATCTGCGGGGGGGGGGGGGAGTTGGGTGGGGTATTTGCATAACCCCCACCATCATGCACGCGATGATGCTGTCACCGCGGTTTCATTTCACATTGCGAAGTGAGTTCACGATGACTATATAACCACATGTTTAGATATAATATAGACACAACTATATATAGTTCAGTAATTGCCATGATTGCGGTAGAGGTGCAGCCCTGCAATTACTGGCCTCACCACACTGCTGACGGAAGAGGCTTCCACTATAGTTAGCTACGTACGGTGTGAAAGAAGTTCAAACCCACACAAAGTGAGCTCTGGAGATATCCTCCAGTGTACTACTATTCCTCCCACCACTGCCCAGACATTTTTATGAGAGGGAAGGGGATTACTCGCACTTTACCCCACCACACGTGCCCTGCCCATCGCTTGTGAGATGAGAAAAACGGCAGGACAGGAAGAGTGACAGAATCATCATCTATCCATCATCAGCAACCCCACAATCCTCCAACACGGATCTAACCTGCCGAGGAAGATCTTGGTCCTCCTTCAATCGGATCCGGACACTCCATGGAAGATGTGGGGACACTTTCTCCAGAAATGGAAAATTAACGAGCGTCCAGTTTGTGACTGTGTTGGTGCGACATCGAAGACCGTACCACACATCGTGAACGACTGCCCCCAATCCTTCAACAGCGATCTGACAGAAATGCACGCGTCTGCTCTTGAGGCAGTCGAATGTGGAAATCAAATCTCGACATCAATTTGTAATCTGATGCAATCCCCAAAAATGCCATACGAAAGAGAAGATAATTTCATGAGCCACATTCGACCTACTGCTGGATGAAGGCCTCCCCACTTCGCAGCCATCTCTCACGGCCTTGCAAAGATGATTAAACTAAACTTATTTTATTTGATCAAGTAAGGCCCACTGAGCTATCTCTTTGTCAAAAGCGGCCTGGCCACGACTGAGAGCTCAACGAAGTCTCTGATCACCACGTGGGCATTCATAGCAGCAGCCAGACACTCCTAGACGCGTGTCTACAAATGTGGAAGCAACAACTGGAGGAGCCCGATAAAAATCCACGCGACCGCGGGGAGAGAGACGCGCAACCTCCAAATATGCAGCAGCAGCAGGCGCCAGGGTCGGGATCGAACCCACGACCTGATGATGATGATGATGCCACAATCCTGCAGCTTGCTCCTCTGATTCCTCAGCTGATCGTCTCCACGACGGTCATCCTCTCGGGAATTTTCCCCACTTTGGCTGCCACTCTGTCACCAGTCTTGCCCATCGGCCGTCAAAACCAAATGCCAACGCAGTTTGGCCTCACACAGCACCCACAAGATGCTGTCCAGTAGCGGAAGCGACGTTGTCGATGTTCCCGTCTCGCGGTGCGTCCTGCTCAGCCCGCTCGCTCTGCTTCACACTCGCCACGATGTCTCTCACGTGCGTTATATAGTTTAATTCATGTCACAGTAGTTTTTAAAACTGTATTCATGCGAGAAAGTTACACTGAGTCGTACGACTATTTTATCAGGAGGGTCCTGCCGCAACATTGGGTGTTTATTTATGCATTTATTTGAAGACGTTTTCAGACAATTATTGAGAGGTTATGCACGTGGGGCGGGTATCTAGCACCCAGAGAAAAGCCACGCGTGCAAGGGGGCAACACTCGATCCCGGTACAGATGGAATCAGGTGTCGATTCATTCGTCCACTTTTGATGTACCGCCTCTTCCTGGAGAGCCAGGGCACGGAACCTCGTCCACGCCCACGGGGAGTCTCAAGACATGTCCCGGTGAGCCACCAACCCTCGCTGCTGCTGCTGCTGCTGCCTCCACAGTGGCGGATGTTCAGTCTCCTTGTAATCCCGACAGTCAATATGACCATTCCACCCCACGCTTGCGATTCACGGTATAGCCGGCACCGATTTCCAACCTTCTGTCAGCACAACGGCACGCTGCCTTTTGTAATCAAATTCAACGTTACAAAATCACCCACACCCTGCTCGATGCCGGCCCGCCTTCAACAATTGCCCGGGATATACATATGTAGTAAGTTGATGAGGAGACGATGAGGAAGTTGAGACACACTGTTTATTAACTCCGGGACAGATACAATAGTTGAAGGGGTATCGGCCCCTTCACCCGTACTATGGGAAACCCACCCTAGTACTAAGCCCTCTGTCCTGTCCCCCAGTCCTCCTCTACTGGGCTACGGGAGGCTGACTGATCTGGCCCTGGCAAGCACAGATCTCGGCACCAGCTAACCAGCCTTGCCCTGATAAGGGCAGCGGTCTGGAAGCTCTTGGGCCGCGCCACTGGCTTACCCGGCTCGGCCCTTATAAGGACGGCGAGACCGGGGAGTCCCAGGGCCTAATCTCCGAGTCTTGGATCTTCACTGGTCAGCTTCGTGTCGAACTGCCTCGAGCTCTTTGGGTTCCACCTTTTATAGGGATCGCCTCCGAGGGCTGGGGGCGTGGGCAATAACTGATGCGGACGTCGGTGTGACCCCCCGTGTATGTGAGTGCCGACAGCCCTGTGTTTGTTGTCCGCCGTTTCTCCCGTAATAACCCCTACATCACCCCCCCCTGTACAGCTCGCAGCCGTCCCGGCTGCAACAATCCCTCAACCCCCAAGAATAAAGATTAACACCGTCAATACACGTGTGCCTCGTAACAGTAACAATAACAAGAACAAGCGTAACATCAACCGATGGTTCCCTAAAAAAAAAAAAACCCCCCACCCGGAACCGCAACACATATACAGAACGGTATAACAGCACATGCAATCAGCATATCGCGATCACACGCGTACATTGAAGCACAATAGCAAGCAAATCTGCAGGCGACCAACACACCATCAATCCCGTCGTAACTTTTCAACCACAACACAGTTATTCCCTCTCATGCAACGACCGCATCGCACACAGCACCTCGCAGCATAATACAGCCCAAAAAAACATTTTTTTTTTCAATTAAGCCCATCGCGCACGGTGACCCACGAGATGGTACAGCACAGGATACCCGACGCTCCCACGTTAATAATTAACTTTACCATCAAGATAACAACTCCACGCAGCAGCGCACACACTCCCTTTGAAACTCAGCAACCACAGCAGACTCTCCGTCCATTCCCAACACACGCACACACTTACATGGACAGCAAGCAACAAGCAGATAGCGTGGTCATCGTTATTACACACACATACAACCATTAAAAAAACATATATACAATGAGCGGGTTCCGCAGCAACGGAACACGCGCGGAAAGCTAATCATAACAACCGGCGCGTTTTGGCGCGAGTCCGTGCAGCGGGCCCGTCACAAGGGGCCGGCTTGGTAGAGTCAGTGGCAGGTGTCGCATCAGCAGGTGCCTGGTCGTCCGGTTTCCCGGACGTGCCAGCGCCGCCCCCCACGGGGGAGGCTGGCAGCCCAGAGGGCTTCAGTCCTGGGGCTCCTGAAGACGGGACAGTCATTAGTGGATCAGAGGCTGGCATCGATCCCACCCCCCCGGAGTCAGAGGACTCCCCACATGTTCGGCCATTTACGTGGGAGGAAGCGTGCGGAGCAAAAAATGGCTTTAACCGTGAAGGGTGCACAAACCACCGACGCTTCCCCCACTTAATGCGCACACATTGAGGCCGCACAACCTGCACAATTTCAACGGGGCCCCTCCATGGTCGCAACAACTTAGCCGAGGTGGCCAATGGCACCTGAGGGCAGTGCAACCATGCTCGGTCGCCCGGGTGCCATTCGTGCGTGTGAGTCCGGCGCGACCGCAATCTCTCGTTTTGTTTCTGGCGAGAGTCAGAGTTTTGCATGGCCGCCTGCCGTGCCTCCGCCAAGCGAAGGATGTTAAATTTAACATGGTCGGCGATTTTCGACTTAGC